ATCCCTTGATAATTTAAGCTGTATTCCTGAATTAAGGGGTATTGGGCTCTCTGGGTATTCCCAGACGCTACAGGAGGGCTGAGCATGGTCCCGGGACGGTTCTCAGCGGGATCACGCGTGGACTCCACCAAAAAATTGGACCTCCTTCCTGGCCCATCGATATCTTGCGACAAACCCTAAGTCCTAAACCCTAAACCCTAAACCCTTAACCCTTAACCCTTAACCCTTAACCCTAAGCCCTGTAAACCTGCGGAATCGGATGTTTTCGGGCTCCTAGCTGGGGCCGTTGAAGGCTGGCAGAGGCACATTTGCCATGGTCAGGCTTGGTAGATTCGACCTCACCAGATCCACTCTTTTGCAGTCATACCTGAACCCCTACAGGACCAGCTCTGAAAGGTTTAGGGTTTAGGGTTGAGGGTTCAGGGTTCAGGGTTTAGGGGCCGAAAGACCCAGATCCCAAGCGCCTGAATTCTCCGCGTGGGGCTTCTCCGCAGAAGCTTACGGAGCCCATGCATCGAAGCCCTGATAAACTTACCAGGGTCTTCCCTATGCCAAGGAAGACTTCTTAAACCAGAAGCCCTTGAAGCCCTCAAAAGGTCAGGTTGTCACGGCCCAAACCCCCTTAAGCCCCCAAATGGCGCCAAAAAGGATGCGTGCTGGCACCAACTCCAAGGACTCCTTTTTGGGCTTCTTGTTTTTTTTTGGTGCCTTTCAAGAAAGGGGGCCATCGGAGTTTGAGACTTCAGGCTTCAGGAAAGCAGGCTAGGTTTGGGGTGATTTCGGGTATGGTGTAGGTTGTAAGTGTGGTGGTTTCGGGTTTTGTAGAGCAGTAGAGCAACCTGCCGTGCCCTTTCGTCATGTCGCTAAGGATGCAAACCACAACTGTGGTGCAATCCGGGGAACTAAATCCGCCCACTTGAGTCCGCCCCCCCCCCCCCCCCCCCCCAATTCCGCAAGTTCGTCTGAAGCCCTCAACCGCGGCCTTGGATTTCGGGGTCATGCTGGAGGAGGGAGGGGCGGGAGGGCAAGCTAGATGGCGCTGAAGAAGGCTTTCACTGCAGGTTTCCGAAATCAGGGGCACCTTCTTGGGGTCCGGTTTCGAAGGGAGTTTCGAAGGGAATCCTAATTTGGGGGTCCACTATAGGGGTCCCTTATGTTCGTAAACTCCTTTGCCCTAGGTGGGACCTTACTACAACTTTATTCCTTGATAAGTTTAGGGTTCCTTCAATCTCATACTAAGGGAGCTAAAAGATAAACTCTTGTTGGGGGGTTCAAGAGAGCAACCAGGTATAGGGACCCCCCTATACCTGGTTGCTCTTTAACACCCCCAACAAGAGTTCAAACTATGCCGTTCTATGGATACTTGGCTGAGCACTCGCTGTGGCCGAAGCCCACGGCATGGCAGGGACCCGGCCTCCCTAAACCCTAAAGCCTAAACCCTAAACCCTAAGCCCTAAACACTAAACCCTAAACCCCAAACCCTAAGCCCTAAACCCCAAACCCTAAACCCCAAACCTAAACCCTAAACCCCAAACCCTAAACCCGTGTCGTTCTCCTCGCCTCTCAAACGCAGGACGACGAGGACGACCATGATCATGATGAAGAAGCGTTCTAGACATTGTGGTGTGAGGGCCAGTCCCTTTGTAAGAAGAGACTCGCCCCCAACTGGGTTAGGGTTTAGGGTTTAGGGTTTAGGGTTTAGGGTTTAGGGTTTAGGGTTTAGGGTTTATGGTCTAGGGTTTAGGGTCTAGGGTTTAGTGTGGGGGGAGTGCGACGTTGAGTAGCTGTGGACCCGTCCTGGCATCCAGTCACGACGACCAAGACACGCGCCCACGCCCACATAAGCGCCCAAATGAAGCACACGAGGAAACCCTGTGACGAGCACGTCATCCTCAGAAAGCTGTGGCTTTTTTTCAGCACCCTAGAGATGGGTTTAGGGTCTAGGGTTTAGGGTTTAGGGTGTTGAATGTTAGTGCAAGAAGAAGTCCTCGATGAAAAGATGCTGTGCAGATAGTGGAAGGTGGGCCCCGAGGGAGCGCCTTGGGGTTCAGACGACATCATCCGTCTTTTTTCGGGATCTGTGGAGGGCTGAAGCGCTTGATGCGACATCGTTTGATGCACACTGGGAATACAGCCTCAAATTTGAGCGTGAACGACTGGATTTGGTAACGGTCCCCTTTGGCTGCACCACCGAACGTGTGTGCTGCCCTGCTGGCGCTATCCGCAGCCAGTTTTTCCAACGAAGAGCTGGGCTTACAAGACATAGCAGGGCACATACATCATGTGTTGTTTATGTTACCTATGCTACCGGCGTTTGAACGGCCAAAGTTCCAGGGGCAATCAGCCTGCACCCAGTGTAGCTTCAGTAGGGTGAAAGCGTTCCTCGGCGCATGCTAACAAGACTGGGGCCCTCGACGTTGCAGGAAAGTGAAATAGGGTTTAGGGTTTAGGGTTTAGGGTTTAGGAGATGTTGAGTGTTCCACTTCTAGGTCTCGGCAGAACGCCCTTCGAGCCAATACCGTGAGCGCGCGAGCTTCACTGCTGAGGGTCTAAGGCGGACATTTAGCACCCTAAGCTCTAAACCCTAGTTTGGGATTCTACTAGTTGCTTAAGAACCCCGAAAAAATAAAAGCATTCTTCCTTATTAAGGGTAATATAGGGATTATTGTTTTTTTTTTTTATTCTTTTGGGGTTCTTAAGCAAATAGTAGGATTCCGACTTTAGAATTCGGTTGTCGGAGGGGTCTTGTGGCCGAGCTCTCAGTCTCTCGCACCCATGAGGTCCATGGAAATGCCAAGCGCCTGCTTATTTTGGAGTTTCCGAGAATGGGGGCTTCCTTTTGGGGGCTCCAAAACTAAGGATGATCGTATTAGCGGTGCCACTAGTTAGGCCCTAGTTTGGGATTCCGGCTTAAAATTCGGTAGTCGGTGGGGTCCTGAGGCTCAGCTCTCATTCTCTCGCACCCATGAGGTCCATGGAAATGCCAAGCGCCGGCTTATTCTGGGGTTCCCGAGAATGGGGGTACCCTTTTGGGGGTTCCAAGACTAAGGATTATGGTATTTGGGGTGCCCCTAGTTTGGGAAAATGCCCATTTTACTCTCTGGACGGTAGGAGGTTTGCGCCGAGTGGTCTTCTGCGAGTCTAGATCCCCTAAACCCTAAGCCCTAAACCAATCTTCATGAGTGCCTTCCTTCCTAGGGCTCGCAAAAGTCCTCTTTTGGTGGAGATCATGCGGGCTGCCTCAGCTAGCAAGCAGGGTATGCTGAGCTCACTTTTTCCATGCAGTGTACCGAACGCAGGATGTTAGCATCATTCAAACTTGAATGCAGAAGCGCTGGGCATGCAAGAAATCTAGGTACCAAAGCGGCACAAACCTAGCCAGACTGGCCCCGCGTGTTTGACCCGCACGGTTGTGTCACCCCCGGCAGGCGCGCAGCAGCCGGCGTGCGGTGTGTTCATGTCAGTATGGCGTTTACTTGAAAGGACGATGGAACCCTGTAAAAGTTGTAACCCTAAACCCTAAACCCCTAAACCCTAAGCTCTTAGCCATCAGCCCGGAAGCCTTGTAGAGGCTTGTGCCGTTGAATGTTGACTTCAGCAAAGTACCTCGCAGTGTGAAATGTCGCCTGCATGAAGAGGAAGACGTATGGCCTGAAAGCTTCTTAGACTGCGAAAGCTCGTCATACGCAGTGTCGCGCTAGTCGGTGGCATCGGCATCGTTGGGGTGCTCGTCGCCTTCGTCGTCATTGTTAGCGTCCTCCTCACAATAATCACGATCAGCAGCGGCATCAACATCTTCGCATGGGCAGCCAGGTTTTATGCATAATATGTCACATACGATGATAAAGAAATTTTCGAGGCCGAACAGCCTTCTATTGTGGCAATATGGCCGCGCTCAAAACGGGGTAGTCCTACCAGCCCCCATCCAGCATGAAAGTAGTTGTCCTAGACGTTAACAAAAGTTGTTCAAGAACCCTCGCTGAGATCCTAGAAAGTCTTGATTCTACAAAAGCTCTTAGCTACAATTGGCGCAGCAGTAGAATTCGAGCTGGGTGTTCCTCGTCGTTTATCTTGATTGGCTATGGGCCGAAGATAGTTAGGGGCCTGCCTAACTTGCATGGGTACTTTGCATAGTCTACACCCCTAAACCCTAAACCCTAAACCCTAAACCCTAAACCCTAAACCCTAAACCCTAAACCCGAAACCCTAAACCCTAAACCCTAACCCTAAACCCTAAACCCTAAACCCTAAACCCTAAACCCTAAACCCTAAACCCTAAACCCTAAACCCTAAACCCTAAACCCTAAACCCTAAACCCTAAACCCTAAACCCTAAACCACTGCACTGCACCATTCATGGGGGGATTCATATTGTGATTTAGGCTGCAGCTCCGCACCAAGCTCGGCTGTGTGGCTGTGTCAGCTTGACTTTGTCTTCTCGCAGGCAAAAGTCCGAACAAAAACAGAGAACAGGGGCGAATCTCGCCCTTTGGGTTTTGGGGGGCTTACGAGTCTCTTTTTTTCAGAGCATGGGGGGCCTTCTAGGCTTCAGGGGGTTCTGCTACCGGTGTTTTGGGGAAAATGCCGCCAGTCTTTTCGATTTGGATGCAGGGCTTGCGGTTGCAGCGCGCGGAGACCATGAACATCAATAGCAGGTGGTGTTTCAGAAGCACCCCTAGGTGGTGAGGAGCAACCAACACTACCTAAATCAGGGTCTGACAAGGTAATCTCTTCCCCGATTAAAGAACCCTCCCCCCATCCCAAGGCAGAAAAATGTTCACGAACAATTTCTTCATGCTACGGCTGCCCCCTAGACCCGCCGCCCTGGGATGACGAAGGGGACCCCATGCCCTGAATCCGCCCGACTTCTATAAAGAGTTGGCGAAGCCAAGGGCTTCCCTAAACCCTAACCCTAAACCCTAAACCCTAAGCCCTAAACCCTAAACCCTAAACTTATAGGGTTTGCCCTGAAGGCCCCCCCCCCCCGCCCCGCCCCTCGAGGTGTTCCGCCCGGGGAGTGCTTTGGGCGCCGGCCTTGGCAAGCCAGCATGCAGTGATGCAGTGATCCGCCCTTGTCTCCTTGCTGGTTCTTCGTGGGTTTAGGGTGAAGGGGTTAGGGGTTAGGGTTTAGGGTTAGGGTTCCTGGCTGGTTCTTAGTAGGGCATGTTCTTAGTAGGGAATGAGGGAATGAGGTACCTCATGTCTATACATATATATATGCATATGTATATATATATATACTTTAAGGGATTGCATAGGGTGTCTACTTCCCCCATTCCCTGTTAAGAACTAAGGGTCTCTCTCTAAGGGTCTCTCTCCCTCTCTCTCTCCCTCCCCCTCCCCCTCCCCCTCCCCCTGCCTCGCCCTCGGCCTCGGCCCTCGCCCTCGCCCTCTCTCTCTCTCTCTCTCTCTCTCTCTCTCTCTCTGCCTCACTGCATGTGTTGTTGTACAAAGCCACGGCCTGGTTTCTCGGCCTTTCGGCGGAAGTTGCCAAAGAAGGCCGCAGCGCAACAAGGGGTCCTTTTGGGCACCTGAGGCTCTTGGGCGTGAACGGCGCGGGGAAGACGACGACCATGCGCATGATCACAGGAGTGCTCTCTGTGGGGGATTTTACGAGAAGCAAACGAGATCCCCAAGTAGTAGATCCCCTTATAGCGACCCCAATAAGGTACCCCTAATAATGTAAACCCCATTGGGGGGGGGGTTCTGGGGGTGGCTTGTGAATTTGGGCGGCGTATGGCATGGCCACACCTTCACTAAATGCTCCAGACGTTGCACGGTACTTGGGCCTTGCTGTTTGCTGTAAGGTTGGTATACATGCCAATGGCCATTCGGAACCTGTCGTGAATACCCTTTAGGGCCTTCATGTATGCAACATCATCCCGGGCCGCAACAACCCTTCGGGAAACCCTTGGCTTTCGAACCCCCTTTGACAGCCTCTGCGAATCTTAAGCATCCCGCTCTAGGTTGCAAGCCCTGTAGACCCTAAACCCTCAACCCTGAACACAAAACCCAAAAAAACTCTGCACTGCTGACATCCCTCTGACGTTTCGAAGCTGGCCGATCCTTCGCCGGCGTCTGCAACATTTTGCGTCGCGGAACCCGAAATCCCGATCTCAAAAACCCCGAGCCCTAAACCCTAAACCCTAGATGCAGAAGTGCTTCTCCCAAACATGAAGCCCTGATCTTCAGAACTCAAAAGTCCAAATTCCAAAAGACCCTGTGAGTTTTTTTGAGCCCCGAGGCCTGGGACCTTCGCCAACAACCAAGATCCGAAACTCCACCAAACCCTGGGCCTCAACCCTAAACCCTACGCCCTAAACCCTAAGCCCTACACCTTAAACCCCAAACCCCAAGCCACACGGGAAGTGCCGACAGAGGGTGTTGTGAGGGAGTGTTTTTAGTCGGTTTTTTTTCAGGGTTGGTTTCGAGAGGTTTAGACTAATCATAGCTCAGAGAGTTTCAGAGGGTTTTTTGAGAGAGGGTTTGTAGGGCTTACAGGGTTTGTTTAGAGGGTTCAGAGGGTTCACGCTCATTCGGATGCGCATTGAAAAGCGCCTGAGCCTTTTCTTCTCCTCCATCGGAGAAGTGTTGAGGAGACACCGAGGTGACCAACGGCGACATCCGTGTCGGTGGGGCCAGCGTGCAGGACCGGAGTGGAAGCATCGGTAAGGACGTGTAAGGGCCTGTAATTACTGAGCACGACCCTAAACTCTTACCATCACCGGCTAGAATCCTACCCTCAATCCTGAAACCTCGAGCCACCCTTACAAGCCCTAAACGTTGAACTTTCACCCTAAGTTGCTCCACGAAAAGCCCACGGTGAAGATCAGCACAAGGTGACTAATCACTCTTCGGCCCCTTACCCCAATGCGCAGCCAATTGACATTGTCCATCACACAAAGCCCCCCCCATAAACCCGAAGCCTTGAATCCTAAACCCATCAAACCCTAAACCCCACAAACCTTAAACACTACACCCCTAAACCCACAAACCCTAACCCAGCTCCTGAGAACAACCGGGATGCGGCGCGGCGGAGACTGGGCTACTGCCCGCAGTTTGATGCAGGGGCTCCAAGATGGGGAGCATCCTCTTGGGGCGTTTATTCTCGGGCTTCCCTCTTAGGGCTTGAGGAGTGCGAACCTCTCTACACCATGCCCAGACCCCCTGAACCCTCAACTACCCGCCCGTAGCGGGCAGTCTGTAGACCCGGGGCTTGGCCCTGAGACGCTCCTCTGAACTGCCTTCCTGACGTAGAATCTTTGGCGAGCCCTCAAAGCTCAAGTTTTTTGTTGAACCGCTGGCTTGCAGGTCTACCAACCAAAGCTTTTGTTTTTTGCCTGCATGCGGCAGCATGCGCCCCTAAAGTCTAAAGTCCAGAGGGCCGGGGGTTCTGGAGCCCCTTGAACCCAAGCGGCTCTGAAGACCTCAGCGTGGGGGGCGTGGGGGGCGTCGGGGGGGCCCTTGGGAATATAGACCTCTCGCTCGCTCTATCTCTCCCTCTCTCTTACTTATAAAGCGCCCTCCTAGGCCCGGGGAGTAAGCCTTGTTTCCTCTAAAGAGTACCCTATTGTTATTCCTAGGTTGCTCCCGGGTCTAGCCTCTGAGGCCTTGCCTGACAAGCTGACGGTGCGCGAGACCCTGTCCCTCTACGCCTGGATACGCCCGGGTCCTCAGCTGCTGGGGGGGCCCCTCGCCTGAGTCAACCCTAAACCCTAAACCCTAAACCCTAAACCCTAAACCCTAAACCCTAAACCCTAAACCCTAAACCCTAAACCCTAAACCCTATAGACCCTAAGAGCCCAAAACCCGACACATCGATCGGCCTTCAGATTGGGAAGCTGCATTCTTTTGGTTTGTTGGCGGCTTCGGGGTCCCTCGGGAGTGGAGGGCTCCGCCTTTATTATTATTGCTCTTACCATTATTACTACTATTATTTTTGTTATTATTATTGTCATTATTGATATTGTTATTATTGTTATTATTGTTATTGTTATTATTGTTATTATTGTTATTATTGTTATTATTGTTATTATTGTTATTGTTGTTATTGTTGTTATTGTTGTTATTGTTGTTATTGTTGTTATTGTTGTTATTGTTGTTATTGTTGTTATTGTTGTTATTGTTGTTATTGTTGTTATTGTTGTTATTGTTGTTATTGTTGTTATTGTTGTTATTGTTGTTATTGTTGTTATTGTTACTACTATTATTATAAGTATTATTATGTTTCTTGAGAGTCCTGAACACGCGCAGCTTGCCCAACGCGAGCTCTTTAGCCTTCTCATATTGCCATGGTGTTGTGGTCTCAGCCGGTTCGGTTCGGTTCTCCATGCGCCTTCAGCGGCTCGTGGCGGCCGAGGGCCGAAGTTTGTGCACAAAGTTGCTCGTGTTGGCTCCTGCAGAGGGGCCTGGATTGCACACTTGCAAGTACGACTCGTAGAGATCCTGCCACATGGGGTCTTGAAGGATGCCCTAGAGTGAGAAGTGAGCATGCGGGTATGCCCCCAATAAGGGTACCCGAAATAGACCCCCAAAATGGTCTAATCGTTATTATAGGAACCCCCGAAAGGGTAACCTCTATTTTCGGAAACCCACAATGTATGTCTCCGACACCGAAGGGGTAGAGACGTTGAAATTTCCCGGAGCTCACACCTCTAAGGTGGCGTGCCACGGAACGAGGTGCAACAGGTCACCGAGACGATGGTGCAGAAGATGTGCTTGGAGGCCGTTGGCGGGGGTTTCCCAAGATAGGGATCCCCTTAAAAGTTCTCCCACATGCAGATGATCGCAGTGCACCCCGCCAGCGCCCCTGGCACCGTTTCTTCCCAGACGGTGTCTCAACCTTGGCTGTTAATTCAGACCTGCAAAGAACTGGATCAAGCACAAGGGTTTAGGGAAAGTGGAGGCCCCCCATCACAGACCTTTACAAGACTTTGACACTTCCAGGCACACCAGCACAACCTGTGCGAGTACTTATCCGGCGGCAACAAGCGAAAGCTGTCAACGGCCGGGAAGCCCGACAATCGTCAGAAGCATCGGGTTCTTAGGAGATATTCTTAAAATAGCAAATGGGTTCTCTATGGTTCTTTGACGTTTTTGGCTTTGGATTTGAGCTCCGAACCACCCAGATACACACAAAATCCCACATGGAGCCCCAAAGAAACTCCCGCGCACTCACCGAAACCCTAGCGACCCTGAAAAGGAGGCTTTGGCGCAGCAAGCGCGAGACTTAAGAAGCCTTGGATGTAAGGCGTTTGGACATACGCAGCCTGGTGACTGCCATGGCCTCTGCACCTCTTTCCCCTTGAACCCGTTTAGGGTTTAGGGTTTAGGGTTTAGGGTTTAGGGCCCTGAATCTTAGACCTCAAACCCTAAACCCAAGAGCCAAATTTTTGCGAATGCAGTCTTTTGCCTAAGGAACTGCGCGGGAATCAGTATTTTCCGGACGTTTTCCTGTGGGGCATTGACCCGATAGTTTTTAGGTGACAGGCACCTAAGACTCGAGCTTCGAGGTCATGATGGCTATGAGTTGGGATGTTCCCTCTTATACTAACAGTCCTTAATAGGGATTATGATAATCCCTGTTAAGGACTGTTAGTAAAAGGGGTTCAGGGTTTAGGGCCCCTCCCCCCCTTGAAGGCCTGCGACTCTCGTACACGCAAGCACCAGCGAACCCTGGAAAGACCCCTGGATTTGGGGGTTTCCGAAATTAGGGGGCACCTTCTTGGGACCCTTATCATAAAAGGGAATCCTACCATTTCGGGATCTATATTTAGGGCCCCTGATGTTCGCAAACCACTTTGGTGAGTCGCCTTGAGGCCCTTGCTCTTATCGGAGAGCCAGATGTGGTCCTCCTCGATGAGCCCTCTACAGGCGTCGATGTACCTTGGCCTATATCCCCCTTGGGAACTATTTTTAAAAGAATTTTGTTTATATAAAACTCAAGAGGGTTTTAAACATATTTTTTTGTTAAGGTTCTAAGGGGAGTATAGTTGGCATAGTTCGGCAGATGAGCTGGGGGAGGAGGGTCTTTCGGCTCAGAACACAAGAGGCGCAGCAACCTCAAACTCCCCAAACACTTAACTTCTTTAGGGGTTTTCGGGTTTAGGGTCCCTAAGCACAACTGAACTCCAAAGGTCCTAGCTTGGGCACCTCTCATGTGGGCCGCAAGGCTTGTGCCTCACTGAGGTTGGCGCCCGACGATTTCTCTGGGAGGCTTTCGGAAACACCGTCGAGTGTCTCTGTGGCTCTGCAGGGATCCACTGGGTTTAGGGTTGGTTTAGGGTTTAGGGTTTAGGGTTTAGGGTTTAGGGTTTAGGGTTTAGGGTTTAGGGGATGGCCTGGTGTTTCATTTCTGTTCTAAGGTTTGTGTCAGTAGAGTCTTACATGCTTGTACTGGTACACCATTATCTTGCTATACTCTTTTAGGGTTGTTTGATTTTATGTTCGCTTCCGGCGTTGTGCAGATCTATCCAGCCGCCGCAGACCTTGAAATGCTTAAAGGCTGCCATAGAGCCGCAATCGTGAAGCTTCGCATATGAAGGCTCTCACATCTCAGACGACGATCTAAACCCTAAACCCTAAACCCTAAACCCTAAACCCTAAACCCCAACAGCCAAAAACCCAGGTTTGGCAGCAAGCTCCCAGCCGCAGCCCTGAAACCCACAGAGAAACGCCCAACTTCCGCAGATCATCGGCGACATCCGCCTGAACGGCCACGCTGTCGTGCTAACGAGCCACTCAATGGAGGACCACCACTCTCTTTGTGGTTCTTTACTAATTACTGTAACTTTAGATCCTTTGCCTTTTGGGGTTTATTGGGTTTCTTAATAAGGCAGCTAAACATTTAATCTATAGCTACCCTCCCAAGTGCAGCCAAGACTCTGTCTCTGGATCCAGGGTCTAGAGAGATCGAGATATCGATCATGGCGGGGGGTGCCTTCCTGGAAGTGCTTTTCTTGTTTATGCAGCGGTTCATGGTGGGTGCTAAGCTGATGAACTGACCATTCTGTGCAACTGCAAGGCACAGTCACCCACTCACGAGTCTGACATGGTTGCACACCCGTTTAGGGTTCAGGGTTTAGGGTTTTAGGGTTCAGGCGAAAGCCACCACTAAACCTCTAAGCGAGCCCCTACGCTGGGTGGGGACCTCGACAGGAATGCGAGGTGCTCTGCACACGCCTCACGATCATGGCTCCGCCGGCACACTTGACGACGCGCCACTTTCTAGCCTGAGGGGTCAAGGATCCATGAGGTCACAGTAGCTCTTGTAACGATAGTAGTCATCGAAGTAAGATTGATAATGCTTGCAACAATAACTCCAGTCATAAATAGTCATTATCAGTACTAATAGTAGTAATAAGAATCGTTAATAAATCATAAAAAAGCTAAAAACTAACACCACCAATAATAATAATCATAATCATAGCAAGCAGAAGAAACGAGCCTCCGAGCCCCGAGCCTTGGCCAGGTGCACGGTCAGTTCCGCTGCCTGGGAAGCCCGGTGGAGCTGAAGGCAGAGTCTTTTGCACAGAGGTCTTCATCAGAGCCCTAAAAGGTTTAGGGACGTTTAGGGTTTTTAGGCTTTTAAGAGTTTAAGGTTTAGGGCTATCAGGGTTTAGGGGGATCAGAGTTTGGGGGGGGGTTGCAGAGCCCTTCAGCCATGCGAGGTCACATTGTCGCCTCCAGGACTAACATATTGAACAAGTAACAACAGCGCACGGGCATCAAAGATTTGGGAGGCGCTGCCCAGCCAAACTACACGCGGGCCCCCAAAATGCCTAAACTTCTAGTGAGTATCCGGCCTGTTGACCGAGGAAGTTTCCAATTCGCATTTCAGCATTAGTGCGTGCATGATGCTCGTGGGTTGTGATTTCGTTCTTGCGTGTTCTGGATCCTGCTTGGGGCAGTCGAGCATTGGCTTTAGTGTCAGGGCAAGCAAGAATGCGGCTTGTTTGTGAACAGCCTGTGCCATGAAGGCAGCTTCGGGATAGTTCAAACAAAACCCAATTCTCCCCAAGAACGAAACCTCCATCAGCATCGATCTCAATTCTGTCCCGTAGGTCCTAAGGGTCCGAGGGGAGGTGTCGGGTTCAAGAGTTACGAAGGGCCAAGAATGCTAAAAGCCACTAGCCCTGAATTCCATAGCGGGAGAAAAAGAAGAACATGCTACTACATCGAATCCTGGACAAGTAAGTTGCGCATGGGCAGGCCAGATATGGTGGTGGCTACAGTCTGGCGGCCAACTGCTCAGCGAACGCTGGGCTCACCTCTAGATCTACGAATCCTTGGCCAACAGGGCCAAGAAGCCCTCCTCTCAAATACTCTAATTTGCCGGGAACCCAGAGTAGGCCCTATTCCTCTTTTTTAGGGTTTAAGCACCTTAAAGCCCAAAAGAGTACCTGTTTCTACTTCTAGGCTACTCTTGCGCTAGTTAGGCGCCCATGGGGCTCACAGGCGCTTTCCCATGGCCCCGTGAGCTGAAGAAAGCACCTATAGGAAGCAGCTCCCCGCAAGAGTGAAGAAGTCCGCTCCTAAGGAAAACGCCTTGGTGGTGGCATCTTACACGGGCTTAGATTCACCTTTTGGACCGAGTAGGTACTCCACGAGCGAAGCTCCTGAGCATGCAATGGTTAGCTTTTTTGAGTAGTGCATATAAGCCCCTGCGTAACATCGTTCAGTGACACTCGTACTTCTGTAGAAGCCCTGCATCACTCGACGGGCCCCCCCCCAGCGCCTTGGAGCCCTGCGCTCGTGGCCTCAGCAAGCCCAGGTCAAAAGCCTTCCGGGCCAGGACTCGCTGATGCTTCTCAGGGGGCGAAGCCCCGAAAGCATGTTAAGATTGGGGTTTAGGCGTTTAGCCATTTAGGGTGTAAGGTTTAGGGCTTAGGGTTTAGGGTCTAGTGAGTCTAGTGTCAAACTGGTCAAACAAAGACAGATGGCCAAATGTCCCAGTGCAGCATTCGGAACCCGAGTCTTGCGTTGGTGGATCGGCTGAGGGAGTCTCGGTGGCAGGATTCGCCGCGTGTGGGAGTAGTTATAGGCATGGGCACAAGTGGCACAAGCTTCGCTAGTGCCAAGGAAATGAAAATAGAAGGTCGCTGCTACAGCAATATACAACAGACTATACCTATAATCTAAAGTATCTGTACATGTTTTCTGTGCGCGTACTCCTTCTGCAGCAGGCTACCCCTCGGCAAACAACTCTATTGCCAGAGCCTGCTCACAAAACCCCGAAAACCTCTGCATGGGGTGGTGGATCGTAGTTCTCGCAGCCCCTGGAACCCTAAACCCTAAACCCTAAACCCGACAAGGTCACAACACAGGGCCTGTTGAAAGCCTGAGGGCGCATGGAAGTGTCACAGCGCGAGGAGGCTGGCGGCCGCAGCACGGATCAAAACATGGAGCCTTGGCCAGGGGACTTTAAGGGGCCTAGTGTAGGGGTCGGAATGCGTACTAATAGTTGTTGTTCCCTTATTATGGTCCCTCTATCCTATGTCAGGGATGCCTGTGCGGATGGTCTAAGGCCCCACCAAACTTTCTTCAGACAGGCAAGGTCAATTGCCTCTGGCGTCGTGATTAATCGAGCGAAGGTACTCGCATGCTGTCCTGAATTCTCTCATGTCTTCAAGAATTGCAAACAAAATTCTGGCATTTTTTTGGACACGAACAAATGCCAGGCAAATCCGAACACAGCTTGAAATACAAGTTTCAGTATGAGCATGCTCTTCCATGCTTTGCTAGTGTGGGCTTACATCCTCTCCCTAAACCCTATAATATATAAACCCATGTGGGCCTCTGAGGTTTAAAAGCAAAAGGCCCAGAGATGCAAAAATACATTTCTATCTGGGAGCTTCCAGAAAATTTGCTTTTTTTGTGGGGCTCCTGTTTAAGAGGGTGTTGTCTGCGATATTTGAGGTCTACGTATGGGGGGGGGGTGGGGGTACTCCTGTATGAACCCTGGGGAGATGCCCGTATCGGAACTGGCAAGGGCATCAACACAGTGGATCGGGATAGCTGGAGTTTGGGGTTTGGGGTTTAGGATGGTTTAGGGTTAGGTTTTCGGTTCTCATCCCAGTCTTAGCTGAAAGCCTCCATGCACGAGGCTCAGATCCGGGAGTTCGTCCGCGGCAAGGCCGCGCAAGTTGGCCTGGTCACAGTCCCGAGACGTTGGGTTTTGGTGGGGAAGCCTGCACCAGGGATTAGATGTCTTGCCCATTGAGGTTTCGGAGTTGATCGACCCTGCACTGCAAAGCTAGCTCCAGCTTGGACGCACGAGCGACGAACGATCATCTAAAGGAAGCCAGTTTGGTCATTGATGTGGTCCCTAAACCCTAAACCCTGAGCCCTAAGCCCTAAACCCTAAACCCTAAACCCTAAGCCCTAAACCCTAAACCCTAAACCCTAAACCCTAGCACTACAGAAGGCGCAGACTCATCGCGACAAATCTTGAGCCCCCCCCCCCCCCCCCCAAGCCAAGCTCCATGCACAGGTGCCCTGGGCCCGGCTGGCCGAGATTAGCGTCGGCCTGCTCGGCCCTTTGCAGGGTCTTGTTGTGGGGCTTTGGGGAGCTTGCTGGATTTTTTTTTGGGGGGGGGGGGGTTGGTGGTGGCATCTCGCACCCCCAGGGAACCCGAACCCCCCCCTTTTCCCCGAAAACCCTGTTCTTCTACTTCCTGTGGCCACTTAAGCCGCCTATAGAAAGCGGTTTAGGATCGGACTAGGGTTGCATGTGGGCGTCCTCGTTCGGCCGACCCCTCGCAGCTCATTGGACCCAGGCTGCGATATCGCCTGAAAGGCACCCAGACAGACCACGGGGAGGACCGATGTGCAGCTTTAAGGGAAGCGCAATCTTAAAAACATCTGAGGCTGTCCGGCTTGTGGGCTGCGGTGAAGGTTCATATTATAGGCGATGCTTCAAGTCTTGAGGGCGCCGCGGCACGAGCTGATATATGCATCACACACGATGCGTATGTGAATTGAGTCTGCAACAGCCCGGGGCACCGGGCATGCGCGGGGGATGTTTGCTTTATCGGAGAGGGGTAAGACAAGAGAGCGTGCTGCGCTGAACCCTGTATAGGGTCCCTCCCACCTTGTGAAGACCAATTAAGGGGTATAAGACCCTTAATCTTACTCCCCTATAAAATACTCCTATTTATATATACCTTTGATAGTCCCTTTCTACTTACGTAGCCCCTAAATAACCCCCTAAGGTCCTTTCGTCCCTTGAAGTCCAAGCTCTTGGGAAGGAGCTTCCCCTGGCAGAGATCTTCCGCCTTTTCGAGGCACCCTGGCATCTGGACGATGTTAAATACTCGCACACTGGAGTCTCATAAATAGTAACTCATAGTTATACTATTAATACTGGTGGTATTTTAGTGTTTCGGGTCAAGAGGACGAGAAAAGCAACAAGACCGCTGCCGATCTCACGCCAATCTATGCGTTGTTGAGTCGTGCAAGTCAGAGGACTGCGCGAGAGTCGAAAACCCGCCTGAACACTACGCCCTGCAACCTTTACACCCCAAGCCCTAAACACCCCGCGGTTGCTTGCGTGTTGAGAACTGTCTCGAGGGTCGTGGAGTTTCTCGAGAGAGCTCTTTTGAGTTGGGCGCTGGGGTGTGCCATGTGCAGTGTGTCTGTGCGCGTGTTCTTGTCACCGGCTGGGGAGGGAGACGGTGTGGGTTCCCTTTAATATCACGGAGTCCACATGAAAAAACAGCGGATATCAACCAATCAAGAAGCATGCGCCAGGACATCCCTGAGCCCCCCCCCAAAAAAGGGGCACCCCATCGACTCCTCATAAAGCTTCTGGGGCCAAGCCAAGGGTTTCATCCCTTTCGCCAATATGAACCGCCCTAGTATTAAATACCCCCCCCCTGCTCATACACTCTAAGACAGCTATAATGGGAGTATTTACTTTTGGGGTAGGGTGGGGTTTTAATATTAGGGGGAAGGGATGAGGGATTCTCTCTTCCAGCTTGTTGCGAGTCCCCCATGGGCTGCCAGGAGGCCTCGAACACCGGCGGGGTGCTCGAAGGACACTAGGGTTTAGGGCTTTTAGGGTGTAGGGTTTCTGGGGTTTAGGGTTCTTAGGGTTTTAGGGTTTAGGGTTTTGGGGTTTCGTGTTTTTCGGGTTTAGGCTGGGTAAAGCCGCACTTTGACTGCCGAACCCCTTTGCTAAAGCCTGCACTACCCCGAGAGCGTTTTCCACAGTGTGGTGAGTGACTGCAATGACTACAACCACCCTAGTATGTGGGGAACCCTAAACCCTAAACCCCAAACCGAAAACCGAAAACCCTAAACCCTAAACCCTAAACCCTAAACCCTAAACCCTAAACCCTAAACCCTCAGCAGGATACCTCTCCGACTACTCCATCTCGCAGACCTCCCTTGAAGAGGCGGCTGGGTGAGGTCTGTGGAGACAGGGAAGCTAAGCAGCTAAGCCTCAATTCCCGAAACCCTAAATCCTAAACCCTATGCAAAAAGCCATAGAGGCAGCTGCACAGCATCCACCCCTAAACCCGAATGCAGGGGCGTGAATAGTTAGAATGTGGTTTCGAGGTTACGTATAAATATACAGGGACCCTAAGGGAATAATACTGGTAATTATTCCGACCCCCAAGCCCTACGCCCCGAGCCTCGGCTCAGGGCTCAAACCAAAAGGCCCCAGGCACTCGACCCGGAAGCATGAGAAGCAGTTTCGAGTTCTCAGTTCTGCGTTCTTTTGGGCTCGCGCTGAATTCAAAGGCGGACGAGGCCTTGCTGCACTCTTCCAGTTGACCTCAGCAGTTCCAAGAAGGGCGATAGAGCCCGGACGCTGCAATCTTAAAGATCCACCGCGCCCAGAAACCCTGTGCACACCCTCCACGCCTTAAACCCGCCGCCCGCTCTGCGAGGTGTTCCTGCACTTTTCTCGGGAGGCAGGCGTCATCGAGGACAGTCTGACAGAGAAAAAGCACTGTGGGAGGGCTTCCCCGGGCACATGTTTTTGGGGTTGAAGAAGTGAGTCAAACAAGCCTCCCCAACAAGGGCGCGCGATACCCTCGAAGTAGGGTTCATAGGGTCTAAGGTTTTGAGGCTTAGAAGGCATAGGGCATAGTCCTGCGAGTTGGGGCTTCCGACGATTTGGGAGAAGCTGAAACCCTTGAACGCTGGTCTTGACCCCTTTTGCCGCGCGTTCAAGTGCTGCTGGACTCCGAACGGTTCTGACTCTTACTGTGATCATATGGGCCGATGCTTGGAGGTTCATGGGTAGTTGTAAGCAGGGATATATGGACATTAAATAAGGTTATGGCCAGCTCTATAATTATAGTTACCCTACTTATGCCTCACTTATAATTACCCATGAGCCTTCAAGGAGCCCTAAACCCTAAACCCTAAACCCTAAACCCTAAACCCTAAACCCTAAACCCTAAACCCTTGCAGGATCCCGAGATCCAGATGATGGAGGTGGACGATGCAAGCCCGCTGCCTCCTGTGCCTGAGGCGGCGCAAGCTCCCGAGGCTCCAGCGACAAAGCCGGGAATCTTTCGAGAAGCCTATTCTGAACGTTCAGGGTTTGGGGTTTAGGGTTTAGGGTTTAGGGTCTGTAGGGTTTAAGGTTTAGGGTTTAGGGTCTGTAGGGTTTAAGGTTTAGGGTTTAGGGTTTAGGGTTAGGGTCTATAGGCTATAGGGTTGAGTGTTGAGGGTTTAGGGTTATTAGGGTTTGGGGCCCTGAAAGGCGGATGAAGACCCCATGACCATGGACGACCGGGACATCATCCCACTGCCCTTCGGCCCAAGCTGGTGTGTTTGCAAAGTATGGGCTTTGCTTCATCTTAGTGGTGTTTAGGGTTTAGGGTTTAGGGCTTCTGTTTTCTACCTCCTGACATGCATTGAGGATGCTGTCGCCAAGCTAGGCCAAGCCTATCAACTTGTTATAACGGTGGTTTTATAATCGAGGTGTGCCTGTAGAATGGTAGACAAGTTGCTTCAGGGCTATGCTGAGCGACACCATGAGCGGGCACAACAGAGATCAGAGTTTTGGTGAAGAGAAGCGTTCGAGAAACGGCACCGGAAAGCGACGGTCTCTGAGGCCCTTGAAGCCCCAAAGGACAGCAAGCGCTGCTCGATCAAGACGAAGCGACGGGGCATCACAAGGTCAACTGGCAGAGCTGATTTCTCCCCAGCAAGACACAAGGATGACAGACACGAACCGACAACCCTACGACCATCTCAGGCTTCAGGCTGAGGCCCCCGAGTTTCCTGTGTTCAAAAGGGCCCTGCGCCCACTTTCAGGTCACGCCTCACGCCCCCGAACCTCAAAGAGAAGCCCGATCCTGCCAACTGACGAAGGCCGGGCCAAACTAAGCGCCCTCTAGAACACAACGCTGTAGTACATGCAGCTAGAAGCCCTTTGCAACGTAACCTCCATCAAGGAGCACCAGCTTGCAAGCCCGTGCAGTTACATGTGCAATCTTGGACGGCGTTTGTCTGCTACGCATGCGTCTAACCCTAAACCCAAACCCTAGAGCACCCAACGCAAGGTGAACAGAGAAATTCCAGAGGTGTCGACGAGGAGCACAAAGCCGATGCCTGAGTTTTTGCGGGGAGATCGAAAGAAACTCCGAAGTCCTCCCTGAAGAAGAGTCAGTTTGTGAAGCCCGAACGGCCTGAAGCCTACCTTTCTGAATTGAAAGCGCTTGGGACGTCCCTACCCTGAACTCACCCCCCCCCCCCATCTGAACATTGAGGCTCATTGAGGTTTCCTCTCCTCCTCAACGGTACCCGGAGAGATGTTCGAGGGTCTCACTGGTCTGCTTCATGGTTGCAGAGTTCCTGTGCCCGGGGTGTCACGGCCTCCCCCGAAGCTTCACATCTCTTGACGTGTTGTCATTTTTCATGCCAGGGCTTCTGGGGAACTTGGACGCCGCACCGTGCTTGAAATATACCAAGCTCGTTGGGGGGGGGGGGGGGGGGAGGGTAGTCGAAGAGGCTGACTAGAAGTCAGTACCTACCAGTTGCTTAAGAACCCCCCACAACATGAAAATATTCTTCTGTATATATATATATTTATAAGGGTACTATAGGGATTATTGTTTTTTTTCCTTTGGGGGTTCTTAAGCAACTAGTAGCTACCTTGTGCCTCCCACGATGTGTCTCGTTCCAGGACATCGCAGCTCCAGTGACCTGCCCGGATGCAGAATTGCAGTTCCAATGGCTACTGTTTGCTTAAGAATCCCCCCCAAAAAAGCACACAAAAACAATCATCCCTAGATTACCCTTATAAGGAAGAGTCTTTTTAGTTTTTTGGGGGGGCTCTTAAGGAATTCGTAGATGGCACCCTGTACAGAGGGCCCATCCGCCAGCCCTTAGCACCAGGGCAAGTGGGGGTACTGACGACCTCCTACACACCAACCAACTTGAGAGAAAACCCTCCCTCCCTAACCCTAAACCCTAAACCCTAAACCCTAAACCCTAAACCCTCAAGGTATCGAACAGGTTCGGAACCCGAACACCCTCTCAGACACCCCGATCCTGAAGGCAGGCCAGCTTTACAGAGGGGTCGGCATAGCGATTCATAGTATTCCCTTATGGCCCCTTTATAAATATTCACGAATAACCCCCAAAACTCGATTCCAATATTAAGCCCTAAGCCCTCAAACCCCCCAAAACCCTATTCCAACTTTGAAGGCCCCCTATATTAACCGCCCTCAAAAGCGCGGCATCGGCTGACGGTTTGGGCCGGGGGGCAGCTCGCTTGGGCGACCTTCTGTGGATTTGGGTTAGCATCCCGAAAAAAAAAAGCGCACGAAGCCCTGCTAAGATAGGGGTCGGAATATAGTTACTAGTAGCATTCCCTTGTGGCCCCTATATAGAAAATACTACAAGAACCCCGGGGGGGGGGGGGGTTGGGGGGTTTGGTGAGTAGGGTTTGAGGCCAAGGGGACTCGTAAAAGGAGGTGCGACCCTCAAATTCTGCCACAGAACGAGCCCCGGTTGCACTCCTTCTTCCCTGGAGGCAAGACCAGGGGTCTTCCTTTAAAGAGCCCGGTGTCAGATCATCTCTAGGTTTAGGGTTTGGGGTTTAGGGGTAGGGACTGTCGGACTGCCCTAATCCTTATAAGGCTGGGTGAGGCTGTGGGGATTTCCGGGGTGGGCGACGTCTACACAGCAAGGACAGGGCTTGTTGGTTAAGGTTCAGGCTGATCTGCTGAGAGTGCTGCATTCGAGGGAACTCCAAGAGCTTTTGCGGACTTCAGTGGCCCAAGCCACTGGCGGTTCTTCGCACATTTGGGTCGGACCAAACGGCAGGTGGAAGAGGATTTCAGGCTGAAAGGATCTTGTGCTGCAGTTTACTATGTGCGGTCCGCGGGCAGTATTCCCCCAGCCTCACGAAACCCTAGCTTACATGCCACAAAACTTTTTTTGGGGGAAGCAGGGAACGTCTGACAGCGGGCTTCGTGGGTTTGAGCAGGCCGACATGGGCAGGGTGTGCTGGATGCTTAAAGCAGCCAGCACACGCTCCTCGGAGCCGCATGCTGTTAGGATCAGAGCGCCCGAAACGGAGTTGATCCCCTCAAAAGGAATCCTAAATCCCCGAAGGCGACCATGGGACGAAGTCTCTTATTGGGGGTGTCCGACATTAGGGGGTACCTTCTTGTGGGTCCTGATTATAAGGGAATCCTACTTGGGGGCTCCCCAAAACAGCACTCCTGCGGCTTTTTTCTCCCGTGTCGGAGTGAGATTTAGTAGGTTGCTGGGGTCGACGCCCCGGCGACATGCTGCGCTTCGGCAAGAAAAAGTCGCCACGCCTCGCGAGGGCCGGAATCCCAGAAGCTGATCTCGAGATGTGCGGAGTGTAAGGTTTAGGGGCTTTTCTGAGTTCTACGATGCATTGCGCTGTTCGGGCGATTACCCAGGGTCGGGGTTCTTGCAGGTTTTGTGAAAAAGACACTGTTTCATTGGCTGGCTGATACAGAAACCGGTCAGCAGTTGGGCGATGGCCATGACTTGAAGCCTGCCCTCTTTCCCCCTTCTTTTTTCGAGTTTTTTCCTTGTCCTTTTTCCTCCCTTTGCTCCCTTCCTTCCTCTTACTCTCCTGTGTCGGAAGGAGCTGCCGGGGTCATCTCTTCTGCCTCGCCCGATGCCTGGGCATTCGGGGTGGTGGCGGGTAGTTTCGGGAGGTCTTGGATCTATTCGTGTTCCGCCGTCAGTCTTTTCCTTCTGCGCTCGAGGCCCTGCCGCCTTCTTGCTGGGTCTTGACTGGCATCTTCCTTCTTGCTGGGGTTTGAGTTGTTTAGGGTTTAGGGGGGCCGGGGACCTCTGTCGAAACTCCCAGCCCGCTCCCAGGCTTCTTCAAAGCTTGAAAGCGATGGCTCAGAGGCGCAGCCATTTTGCTGTAGGCATGCACCTCATGCAACACGTACAGTCATGCTACGGCATGGAAACCTTAAAGCATGCCCAAGTTGGCTCACTCCGCTGCGTTTCATGTGCGGTCCTGTTCGAAGAAATCACGCTCTTTTCACGGCGGAGGGCACCAGTCCCTGAATAGCCCGGCACCATGGAGGTAATGAGTGGTAGCGGCGCCCGTAGAGGCATGAATCATGAAGCATGTCCTTCGAGGGCCCTGGGATCAAGCCCACCGCGCCGGCCTTGGACTGCGTTTGCACACGCCCGAGGCATCAAAGCTGCACCCAAGCATCGCCCGAACGCCCCCGTAAACCAGAGCGAAAAGAGAGTTTACAAAAAGAGGGGACACCCCATATAGATCCCCAAGTAGTAGGATTCCCTTATAGCAAGGACCCCAACAAGGTACCCCTAATATCGTAAGCCCCCAAAAAGAGAGCTGGGGGGGCAAGAGACTTTGGAGACGAAGGTCCAGCTTCCGCTGTCCGAAGCCTGTCATCGGCGCTGCAGTTCTTGGAGGCTGGGTGCAGGGCTTGGGGCTTAGGGTTTAGGGGTTTAGGGTTTCGGGTTTAGGGTTTAGGGTGGTATTTGGTGTTTGGTCACGTTGACCCAAAGGTCCACGGGTACTTTGGCAACGGGTTTGTCAAGAGTTCTTGTGATGACTGTTTGCGATTGTTTTTGTATGCTGTTTGATCACGTTGACCCAAAGGCCCACGGGTACTTTGGCAACGGGTTTGTCAAGAGTTCTTGTGATGACTGTTTGCGATTGTTTTTGCATGCTGTTTGGTCACGTTGACCCAAAGGCCCACGGGTACTTTGGCAACGGGTTTGTCAAGAGTTCTGGTGATGACTGTTTGCGATTGTTTTTGTCTGCTGTTTGGTCACGTTGACCTAAAGGCCCACGGGTACTTTGGCAACGGGTTTGTCAAGAGTTCTGGTGATGACTGTTTGCGATTGATTTTGCATGCTGTTTGGTCACGTTGACCTAAAGGCCCACGGGTACTTTGGCAACGGGTTTGTCAAGAGTTCTGGTGATGACTGTTTGCGATTGATTTTGCATGCTGTTTTGTCACGTTGACCCAAAGGCCCACGGGTACTTTGGCAACGGGTTTGTCAAGAGTTCTGGTGATGACTGTTTGCGATTGTTTTTGTCTGCTGTTTGGTCACGTTGACCCAAAGGCCCACGGGTACTTTGGCAACGGGTTTGTCAAGAGTTCTGGTGATGACTGTTTGCGATTGATTTTGCATGCTGTTTGGTCAGATTGACCCAAAGGCCCACGGGTACTTTGGCAACGGGTTTGTCAAGAGTTCTTGTGATGACTGTTTGCGATTGATTTTGTCTGCTTTTTGGTCACGTTGACCCAAAGGCCCACGGGTACTTTGGCAACGGGTTTGTCAAGAGTTCTTGTGATGACTGTTTTTCGAATGATTTTGCATGCTGTTTTGTCACGTTGACCCAAAGGCCCACGGGTACTTTGGCAGCGTTTTTGTCAGCTGTTCCTTTGCCACTTGCCAACATCTGTCACGCAGTCGCTTGATGCAAGGAGTTCGGGAATTAGGTACCGGATTATTCTGCAAGGGATTATATAAGGACCATCCTTCTGCTACTTGCTCACATTCTTTGATGCGGTCGCGTTGATACGAGCGCACGCGGGTACTGTTCGCGAGTTCTTGGGCCGGGGTGTCTCATGCTGTTGCAGTACTTGGCTGAGCTTGGTAAGTAAGTTGTCGTCTGTTTCGCAGAGCTGTTGTTGGGAGGCCACTGCGGCTTGCGACATCAGCACGCCAGGCAGCATGCCAGGCGACGCGGCAAACTCTCGTGTCGCTGTACTGTGCTGGTTGCTGACATGCTGTGCGAGTATAACGCCCAAATCCCTCTGTGTGTTGTATTGTTGGAACCGGGTGTCTGTGAACCTGGACATGTGGCACACTAAGAGAAGCAAACCCAGCACCTGCCCAACCCTCCTGACAAGTTCTGACCAGGAACCGCAAGGATCCAATTGCACAATCTCTGCTTTCTGCTGGTACGTTTCAAGATCTCAGGACACGGGGGAAACAGAAAGCCCTACCGACTCCAGAACACCTTGTGCCAAGCTCAATCACACGTGCCAGTCTATTCTATGGTGTTCAGGCATCTACTCGTACTAGGTAGACTTCAGCCGAGTCTCATGTACTTCGCACCTCCTCAAAGGCCCCGCATACAGAAGAAGGAGTGACCAAACGCACGTTTAAAACGATTAGGCATGACGAATGTTGGACCATCGGGGCCGACATATCAGACCTCCAACTTCTTCGTGAAATTGAGCTCCGATGCTGCAGTGGTGTCGCAACTGTCCTCAGAGGAAGCTGGAGGCATTGTCCATCGACGGGCCATTGCCTCGGGAACAGCTCCACAGGATTTGGGGTACACCCATTACTCGTCGAAAAAAACAGGTCCATGGAATCGGATTGGCTCGTTGAAGCCCGGCGCCCCGCACGGGAATCGTAACGCCGCAGACAGCTCCAAGTGGCGCCACGTGGCTGACGGTCTCCGAGCTACTGTCAAAGCAGGCCGTTCCGAAACGAGATTGTTTCTTTGGGATGGTGCCGCAAATGACGTGGACGTTGAGATCCAGGGTGATTGTTTGGTTCTACGTGCGAGAAGTGATGACATCACGGCACCAAAGCGCCAACCCGTGATGGATGAGCAGACCCTGACCTCTGCGGGGCTCGCGTTGTCGCAAGCAGCGGACGAGCGAGAGTTTGACCAATTCCACATCTTGGTGGACCGGTTCACTGAATTTGTTCTTTTCCAGGCTGACGTTTTGTTCCAGCTCTCCCCGTTATCCGCGCCCTGTCCGTCGCTTGGTGGGTTTTTGCCCTCGCCCGACCCGGTGTTTAGGGCCTTCTCCTGGCCCAGTATGTTTGCGTGCCAATCGAATGCATTCCAGTTCGTGCGGGACAGGGTCATTCCCGACATGTTGCACGCAGCCCTCCCCATTGGCCGTTGCCTCGTGCTCCTCCTGATGTTCCGCTGGATGTCTGAAGAAACAGCGTGGGTCTCGCTGTTGCTGCCAGCCATTCAACAGGCTCTTGCTCGCGAAAGCCCAGATGATGAGTTTTGGGAAGCTTTTCTGGAGCAAGTGCGCAGTGGTTTTTCGCGATGCCCTTTCCCCGGACGGCTGTTCTGTACTCGGGAGGCATCTAGGTACTGCAGGGGCGACTGCGTGCATGACGAGGCACTCCAGGCACAATTCCGACGTTGCCGTTGCGTCGACCTCGGCTTGGAGCCCTGCCCCCGGGACGGAGGGAACTGCCATCTGTGCCAGACTCCACATGGATGGTGCGCGCTCCTGCTGGCCTATGCAAGGGCTTGGGGTCGGCAGGAGAACGAAATGGAGGAGCGGTTCCGACAAGGCTACAAAGAGCTGCAGGGCTTTGTAACGGAAAATCTGGTAGGCGTGGGCCAGTTTTGGGGCAAGTTCCTGTTGCACGATGCTGACGCGTTGCGGCAGGCATCAAACGCCGTTCTGCCCATGGACGAGGGAGCTGAGCCCAGAGAAACGCCAGGGTGGGAGGACATCGACGATGGCTCCCTTGTCGGACCAGGCGCAATGAAGAACCTGCTGTGGTTGGCGCCAGAGCTTCCCAAAAACTTGGCGTTGGCGGCAGTGTTCACCGTTCGTGATGCAATCCGCAAAATGATGACGGGCGAAACAGACGTTGACGGTCAGCCAAACCATCTCGCAGTTGCTTATAGGCACTGTGTGGAGGAGGGCACGGCTCCTGTTGATGTTGCACAGTACTGCTTATACAGCACGCAAGTGCAACTTTGCGAAACCACCGCAAGAGGAATGCTGATGCAGGCGTGCCGTCCGGTTTTCTGATGCCCTCCACGCAACATATGAACGAGGTCGCCGCTGCGCAATTTCTGGCCAACAAATACTACAACGCGCTGACCGACTGCAAGACGGAAAACGCCAGCCTGCAACGGCAGCTGGCAGCAAAGCGTGCTCATGCTCCCAGCAGCCAGCCCCCAGAGATTGTGGGCTGTTGCATTTGTGGCGCTCGGGGTGGATTCAACGCAGCAAAATGCAAGTATTGTCCAGACCACTGCCCCACAAGGGCATGTGCGATCAAATCGCACAAGAAGCAGAAACATCAAGCTTAAATGATGGATTTGGATTTGGTTGTTTTTTGGGCTTCACTTGCGATGCCATGCGTCAATTCCCGAAACAGGCACATATTGGGAAGTCGTCTGCCCATTGTGCACGCACTTGCGCCTGGAGCTGCGCCCGCAGAAGCTGGCCCACAAAAACAATGGAAAAGCCTGGCCGTCTTTGAGCGATGGGCTGCAGCTCAGCAGTCGTTCTCCGACCTGCTTCGTCGGGTGTTAGGGTTTAGGAGTTAGGGCCCTCGGGCTTGGGCGTTGTGTTCAGGTGGGGCGTTGATCAGGGGCCTGTGCCGCAAATCGAAACCCTCTAGCCTGAAGCCAAAGAAACGTCTTTCAATCCCCATGCACGCAAGGGTTTTCCTAGGTAGGATAAGGGGGACCCTTAAAAGGCAACCCCTTCTGAGCCCTCTTCTGGCTCTTTTAAACAGGGACCTTATTCAGAGGGTTTATATCCCCAAGGGTCCCCCTAATCCTATCCCCTAGTTTTAAGCTGGGATTGGTGGCAGATGCTTTGGGCGACGAGTTGAGTTGTGGCATGCTGGTTTAGGATTTAAGCTTTAGGTTTTTAAGGTTTGGGCCTTTAGGGGTCTTAGGGCTTCGGGTTCAGAGCTTTGGGTGCGAACTCTTTGCCGCAAAGGCGTGCTGCAACTACACCCCCGAAGCCCTCAACTCCAAAACCCTTGGAATTCCCAGAAACGCCCTACGCAGGCTGAGACCGCTGGCCGCCTAGTGCAGGCCATCACCTGCTGGATGCTCTCCGAAGGTTTCGGGTTGAAGGTTTAGGGCTTTGGGTTTCGGGGTACGACTCAACACTGGGTTGCGGGAGGGAAGTGGCGCGAACGCGAGCCCCCAAACCGAAAACCCGTCACCAGTACCTGCGCCAAACCCAGATTCGAGTTGCGGCGAAACAATAGGGGCGCTCGTACTTCATCAGGGGGGACGCGGGGGGGTGGGGTGGGGGGGTTCGATGACCAAATCGCTTCAATTGTCGAACAGCCCCTATGACCCTATGATAAAACCAAACACATCTCAAAGTCCACAAGCCCTACCTAAGCCGAATCCATTCGCCACCCTCTCTCCTCGGAGACCGGCGCCGCAGTAGGTGCTTGGCTAAAAACCCTTGACCCCTCAAACCAAACACTAGACCCCAAACCCCAAGCCCCAAAACTCCCCTAAACCCTAAACCCTAAACCCTAAATCCTAAACCCTATAAACCCTATAAACCCTAAACCCTAAACCCGAAACGCCTGGACCGGGAAGTCGACACCCTCGGGCTTCGTCAGGGTTTGCGGAGCTCGGGGCTTGAGATCTCTCGAATATTCTGGTCGTTTGGGGAGCGCGATAGGCCCATGATTCTGCACCGCATGGCTGTTGCGGCTTGGGTTTGAGGCCCTAAACCCTAAACCCTAAACCCTAAACCCTAAACCCTAAACCCTAAACCCTAAACCCTAAACCCTAAACCCTAGACCCTAAACCCTAAACCCTAAACCCTAAACCCTTGGCGTCGCCAAGAGGCTCCAAGCAGCGCAGGCTGAAGCGTTCGGGCTGGCCGTTGAGGCGCATTGAAAGTCCCCCCCCCATTGTTGGTTGTTCCTGTGCTGACCTATCGCCACCCGAGGTCACCCGAAAAATATGAAATTGACGAGAGTGCTTCCTGGCTTCCCAAGCAATTGAGCCTTTAGGGTGTCGGGCATTGAGGGTTTAGGGCGCGGGGCTTCTGAAGTTTTGATAGTTTGGGATTGGATGTCAACTTGTAGGACCTTCCTGCTAGCCGGAAAGAATCAGAAGTCTGCTCTTTCATGGTGCGGGCTGTACTTTCGAGAGGACAAGCAAAGCTTTGATGACTTTCCCTATTGTTGCTGTGATTTGACTGTAAGAATATACACAGCTCCTCCCTTACTTTTTCCCGAGCTTTAGTTACAAGAGGAGAAGGAGAGCTTTGATTGCTTCCCCACTGGCATCACTATTTTTGCTTGGAGTTGGTAGTGAACTGAATGCTCTTCCTGCTCGCCGACGGGATTCCAAGGTCCTCCCGTTTTTTTGTCCGGGCTTGTGGCTTGAATAAGGACAGGGAGAGCTTTGATTTGCTTCCAGCTGGCATCGCTCTAATTGCGTAGTTGCTACGAGTTGGCTTTGAACTGTCAGGGCAGATTCTGCCACCCTGAAGTCCGGACGCGGGATTTTGAGGGCAATCTCTGGGTGGTGATGCAGCAGTCCCATTCTGTACTCCGGGGCCGGTGCAGCTTGGGTTTGGAGACGCTTGGAGAGAAGGATGTTGAGGCGCACTGGCCCCAGTTTTGCTCCCCATCTCCGGATGTAGGGCCTGTTTCGTGCGTGCGCCTTCCGCATCCCCCAGCTCATGCGACGTGCTCATGATGGACTTTCGCGTTAAAGCAACGCTTGGGGACATCCTTTCGCGTCAAATCCGTTGTCTAGTTACCTGTCTGTCGTTTGGCTCTGGCTCTTTGAAGGCGGCAATGGCCTTGCTGTTCCGGCTGTGAGATTCCTGGCGTTGTTTGGCTGCACAGATGAGGGTTGGCGGAGCAACATGGAGCGACCCATCGACTTGGCGTGCGCAGACTCTGCAGGCGAGTTGCTGCTCGTCATCGACTCCGATGGCGCCACGTCCGTCCGGGACTCGCACCTGGGCCCAGCCTCGCCGCCATACCCAACAGCTATGTCCAAATAAGGCTTAGTGCGTTTGGGCCTTGTGTTTGGGGGCTTGCTTTGTGCAAGTTTCCGGTGTGCTCACTCCCTGGCTGAACATGTCTTGTTATCAAATATCAGGGTCAGAAAAGGGTTCGGGATTTCCTTCAGCGCGAAGCGTGGAAAACCCACGAGCTTCAGTCGCGGCACAGCGTGCTGCCAACGCCAAAGCTGAGGGGAGTGTGCCGGGCGATTTGGGGCTCTTTAGCGCATCGTAAGTTTCGGGAACGTCGTGTTTAGGGCACATTCACTTTCAGAAAGGCGTGAGGACGCAACTCATTGGCTAGCGCTTGCCATGTACGAAGTTCCAGGCAAAGTCTAAGAGCTCTCAATGTGTCAGCAAGTCCGAAACCTGAAAGGTCCAAACCTTGCGGGTGAATTCATAGGGCTTACCTAAGCCCTTATCTCGCCTGACACCGTCCTGGGCGTTGGGCAGAGCCAAACTCTCCGAGCAGTTTGGCTGAGGCAGGGGGTCGCAAACCAAGCAGCAACCAGGATCATCCCTCAATTCCAGCGCCTGTCATGTCTTGGGGTGTCCTTTGGGAGGGTCCGTGTTTAAAATGCATGCCCTTTCTGCAATTCGCAGCTCCCTTCGGCGTCTGGCGACATCCGGGAAAGCGCACAGCCCACCCAGCGCGTATAGGAGACCTTTAGCCTCACCAAATCCCCCTGTAAGATCTTTGTTGACAGTAGTGCTCGCATCCTCGCAGGGTGTAACTCCTCCACCATCATGTCCCCTTCTCTCCTGAGTGTCGAGTCATGTTCGCCATCCGGATCGGCCAAGTCGCCTGGGAAATTCATCTCGCTTGGACTTGATTCCAAATTCTGTTCCCGCTGAACCCTCAGCGCTCGAAACCCTAGCTGCACTTCCGTCGACGAAAGCGTTCGTTGCTTTGAGAAAAGACAGGCCGTTGCAGGGTTGAGGATTTCAGGGCTACATGTTGCGCCGATAGGTGAGGCACTGGTGCGGCTCAGCACAGAAACGACCGAAACGTGCCAATGTTTGCATGCTTGCTGCGCTGCTTTTGCTCGAAAGGCTTCGCCCAAGAGCCGACAAAAGACACTAAACTCTAAACTTCTAAACCTTATAACCTCAAACCCTATAAGCCCTAAACCCTCAGTCAGCCCAAGAGCCAACAAAACACACTTAAACCTTAAACCCTTCTTGCGAAGAGAGCACTGGATTCCTAAACCCTCACCAAGCCCAGAACCCGAACCATGAGAATGTCATCTCCGGCTTGAGCTCAAATGGATGCCCCGCACACATTCTTGGACTTAGCGAAGGCACGGCAATGGGAAGACCCCCACACACCAAACCCGAAACCCTAAACAAAAATTTCTCTCAATGTGTCCCCTTGTTTGCTTGCCCTATTGACCTTTTTGTTTTTCCAAGATTGCTCTAGAAGTTGCTCCCCCCTGTCTCAGCTTCAGAGAGCGGAGCCTTGAGTAGCAGGAGCTCAAAGTTAATAATGGAGTTGAAGTCACTCTGAAGTGTATGGGAGCTTCATGCCTTCATGGGGTAATGCGAAAGGTCCCAAGGGAAGCTTGCCGATGAGAAGCTCACGTAGGGCTCTCGGATGCTGATTTCCAGAGCTGTGGACTTGAGAGCAGCATGCGTGGTGAGAACCAGGGCCCCTTGCGGTTCGCCTTTGTGCAGCAAATGCTTGCTCAGAGCTTTGGAGTATATAAGCCTCTTGAAGCCCCCTCAAGCCCTATGCACGCCCCGTGGATTCGTGGCTCGAGAATCACCAGTAGTTTGTGACCGACTAGTACACGCGCTCAGCTGGCGGACTCCCAAACCCGGGGTTTTACGGCGGTTTAGCATTTATAGGGTCAAAATCCACACTTCTCTTCTCGAGTTTTCCAGCTGTGCCACAGCCCAAGCCGGCTGATCGGTTGGACCAGAGATCCTGGTCTCCAAGGATGGATTTCCTGAGAACGGATGCAGGTCCTGTGCAAGTGAGCCAATATTGCAATCTCAAGACTACGGGCCTCAGGATCCAAATTGTGCAGTTCGGACGATATAAGTACGTACAGTATATATGTATATATGTGTGTATATATATATATATATTTATTTTTTTTACACATATGTATACTATATATATCTATACATATATGTACATATACTTTATATATACACTACATATATATATATGTATATACATATATACACATATATATTATATATATATACTGCCCCCCGCTCCCCATGGATCCACCATGTTGTTTGTGTGTGGGTTGAGGCAGAAATGGCAGAAGCGAATGGCCTGATGAGTGTCATATGTGGTTTTTGCATACTGTAGCAAGAGCGAAGACTATTCATGAAAAGAACATAGGCGACGAGGTTAGCAGATGTCCTTGCTGGAAACAAGCCAGAGCTCACATTACCGTTAACCATGTTGCAGTGCACCGAGCAGTATACTACGAGTACATGTGGCTAACGCTTGGGCTGATTTTTGCAACTGAGTTTGCACAACGTATGGCTTCCAAGCGAAAAAAACATACTGTTTTCATCCGTTTAATGCATAGAGCTTGTAGGAAGAACTCTTGCCCCCCCCAAGTTAAAATGGTGCATGACGTATCTTTGTGGCTTTACCTTGGAATGAGGGAATTATCACGTGCTTGAGAGTATGAGGTGCAGTTTGTGTGCGCAATACAAGGCAACAAATGCGGCACAGGCGTTTTGAATGCAGCGGTATCACTTATAAAACAAGACTTTAATCGCATTAGGTCCCTCTGCAGCTAAGAATGCACAATTCTTTCTTTATCCAATTTCCTTAACGAAATTGGAGTTCAACTACTGTGATTCAACTAAGTGCTGCTGATCCTAGTAGCCGGCAGATGAATCTTAAGTACGAAAAAATGCAAAGCTGTCCTTCATTTTCTTCCAACATTCCAGGCTTAAAATAGTAGAAGTGATCCAAAGAGTTGTTTTGCTAAACTGGGGGTACTTAATTTCCAAGTCGAAAAGGTTATACTTCTCTACATTCTGTTCATATAACAATTTTTGTATATTACAGTACAAGACATTTGCTATCAGTAGTTCAGCGTATATCGAGCCCTTCATGGCACCAGAACATGGCTTTCCACTTTCCACTTTGCTTAGGCTTATGCTCCGTCACCATTACACAGGAAGCTGTACGAGGGGAGAAGGGGGAGAGGGGGTCCGCATCGTCTCGGCTGGAAAATGTTGGTCTGGCTAAATTTTCTGGCTGTCTTTAAAATGTGGGTAAGCCAGTCTTTTTTCGAAGGTGAAGGCTGGAACAAGTTGGCCCTACCAACGAAAACCAACAAAAAAGCACGATGCTCAAGCTGTGAAGGTCGGAGCTCGAAAACCTTGATAACACGGACTTTTTTCTGAAGGCCGAGGCTCGAAAATGTTGGGGTTTTCCAACATTTTCTGAAGGTCAAGGCTCGAACAAGTTGGCCCTAACAACAAGAGCCAGCAGAAAACACGATTTTCAAACTGTGCGTCTGAAGGGCGAGGCATTTTGGGAACACTAACTCTGTTCTGAAAGTCGAAGCGCGAAAAGTTTGGTGTTACCAATTTGTTTGAAGCTCGGAGCCGAAAGCGCCCAGTTTGAATCCGAGTTTCTTTTCCCGGTTTTTGTTGGTAGGGCCAACTTTTTTGAAGGTCGGGCTCGAACATTTTTTTTATCTGGTTTTGTTGCGCTGGCCAACCTTATCGTAAAGGTCGAGGCTCGAGAATGTGGCTTTACCAACATCTGTGCGTGTTTATATGAACTATAGTAAAATATTAACGATACTGATTATATTGATTGTATAAGTTCTGCTAGTTACATTCGTCATGTACTTAGATGAAGTATGCTAGTTACAAAAACTAAATTACCTGCAAATTTGTTTCATCATTGTGATTTTGTTAGTTTCGTTCATCATAAATGCTTTAACCTAGGCTATTTTATTCATGACTTTAGATGTAATAGTTATATAAAGCATTGCCTCACGACAGGTGACTCACAATCTGTTAGGCCTAAATGGTCAATCAAATAAGTTCTCCTTGAGCCAGACAACAAAACAGGCCGACTATTATTCCCACATGTTGTAGATAACATACAGTTCGGAAGCAATAAAAGCACTGCTAGTTTTGAGGTCGCCTGAATAACACAGCCCTTTGCAACAGACTGTTGTTTTCACGGGGTTGACTACCAAAAGCATCCTTGGAGAAGCATCGAAGAATCGATTGTCGGGAAAAGTCGCTTTTAACATGTTTTTAAAGATACCACGTCTGCCGAAATCTTAAGGACCGGTGCGTGGCAGGAGGGTGACCATACATATATACATATATACATATATATATATGTATATATAGATACCTATTCTGCATGCACATATACACTCTCTCGCAACAAAAAGGTCGGGTTTTTCACGCCTAGAATTGTTGGAGCCAGGAGTTCAGGTCTTCACAAGTCTCACCCGTCCATGTCACGAGCATGGATGAACCACCACGGAGCGATGCCACTGCGTGCTCTGGCTGCGATGGATGCAAACAGTGAAGCCGGAATCCTGAAACATAGGGTTTAAATTTAGTGTTTAGGGTTCCGGGTTCAGGGTTAAGGGTTTATAGGGAATCGTTGAAAGCTGGATCTTGCAGATAGATTCTGCCCCGAGCTCGCGGGAGGAGTTGTTGCTGGCTTTGAGCAGTGATTTGCTCACACAATTGTAGAAATAGTATGCCGAATGCCGCTTCGCCTGCACGTGCTGGAGGCAGGTTCGCAGTTCGGAACACAGCGTAAGATCTTCGTCTGCCGGCGTGACCGGTGCGTGCTTTACACATGGAAAGGATATGATCAGCCTTGTGGCCCATGCTGCCAGAAGTCCCTCAACCACCACAGTTCATAAAGTCTGCACGATAACATGTATTTGACATGCTAGACTCACCGTGAAGCAAAGTTCATGATGTCTTCTACTTCACACCTCCCACCCTCCAGCCCTCAAACGTGCAACTCGCTGCCATCAAAAACACCAAGGCGTGCAAATGTTCGCACTGTCATCAATGCAATGCCTTTGGTGGCTGGCTGCCCGGCAGATGTGAGGCATTGCACTAAAGGTTTGTCAGTTGCAGTTTTGTTTTTTGGAATTAACGGGGGTGCCACGGGTGTAGTTGGTACACTGTGGAAGGGCCGTGTCTCACACAAAGGTGTTCCAGGTATGGTGATTGCAAGCAGTACCATGAACGATTGCATGTTTGGAAGATACCGGTTCTGAGGCCAAACTCCGTTAAGCCCCAAAGCAGCTTTGCCTTTTGCCCTTTACCAGTCTCAATGCAATTTCATAAGACTTTACAGGCCCCTATTGAGTTCCTGACAGCAAGCCCCCAGTCAGGCGCGAGCAATGCCAAGGTCCTAGTGCCACGCCCTCTGCTGAGCCACGCAGCGCGAGCCACAATCGACGACCCGCAGGACCGAAAGCCACAATGATATAGCAACACTAACAGTGATAATGAGTACGTAATCGCCATCGTTGGAGTAATAATGATAATGACTAGAATTCCACAGTACTCGTAAAGTATGGAGCATCAACTCCCACGCAACGACCCCTGTCACAATGACCTTTTCATTATCTCGACTGCGCTTCACAAGCTGAACCATCTCTTGAAACCCTCTATGGCGCAGACGACGCGGCGCAGAGAAAGACTTCAACCTGTTATTTCGCAAGAAGCCTCCTTGGCCTTTGCAACCTTCCGTAGAATATTGTCATGGTGGTTTACGGCTGGGGCGGGAGGGATGAATGGGCCGGCCCTGCTGCACTTTTTGATCTCATTTCCCATGTGGTCGTTTACCCCAAGGTTCCGGGCATGACAACACCATAGAAGCTCGCAGATTGACCCGGCGATGCAGATGATGCACCTTTACCCCGTGATGCTGCATCATCATCAGCATCATTGGGTGAGCATTTCTGGTTTCATCTCCACTTTTGGAATGGAGAATTTGAACTTCGTAAACATTTTTGTTAGTAGGTTTGTATTCCCTGTGTTTGCAGCACTTTGGAGGAAGAAAAGCAAGCTGGAAGCAAGCAAGAAGCCACGCGGATGGAGCCCTCCTCGCCTCAATTGGCCCTGCGTTGGTTGATGTTGGATACATCTTCTGAAAAGGCAGGTGGGGCAAGGATGAGGAATGTGCTCATGATGTTTCTGAAGGGCCGTTGGGATGCCCCTGAGGCTTCTTCCGGAGGCCCAGCCCTTCTGAGCAATTTGCACCACAGACATTCGTGGTGCTGATATGAAATCGCCACAACGCTACGCCCAAAATTCAATACCCAAAGCCGGTCAGTGCATGCATCCCGGTTCCAAACCGCAAGCTCCAACTCCAGCACCCTCTGCTGTCGCTCTTGAGGGTTCAGCGCAGCATCATGTTTTCATGAGCTTTCGCAGCGCCAGGACCTCGAGGACTTCCAGATGCGCAATTCCACATGGGGTGAGCCACAGCTGCAGTTGTATTTGAGGTCCAAAGCCACGTTCTCCAGTGTGTCAGTAGCTTGAACAGAAGCTTCTTCCAAGCTTTGTGCGACCCCACCAAACAGTCACACCCGACCCTGCTCCCAGACAGGAATCGGCAGCTTTGGATATGTAAGTTGTACGACCACGACAGCGAGAATTTAGGGGCACAGACCAAACATTTTCGGTGACGCCTTGCAACAAGCATTTACATACGTCTACACTACGATCAATTCAGGTTTAGCAGGATATTCTGCGTTGAGCGTTGCATGGGCGAGGGAAGATGATTGACCTAGGACAAGTTCCTTGACGCGTCCGATGTCTTCTGGCGTCTTGGCTGGGATGCAAGCCTTAGTAAACCCCACAAGCCAAGTACAGATCCGACAGCGACCACTCTGATCGTAAAACAAAAGGACACGACCGAAAACGCTATGCGGATCCTTACCATGTTCAGGCGACCTTGATGTTGAGGGCGCTGAAACTTGCAGATGTACAGGGCGGCTCTCTCTCGACCTCTCTGTCTTAGGCCATAAGGCCATAAGGGCTGATTCCCCAACAGAACATGGAGCTCCGTAAAAGCACTAACCGGCCACAGACAAGGCAGCTGGACCGTGCCTGGCTGTTGGCCGTTTGTATCCTGGCCTTGGCGGTCATTTGCTGGAAGCCCGAATCCATTGTGGGACGAACCGACGATGCCGGTGCCTGGGCTTGCAGAGTCGCAGTCGTGGAAAGCAGGAGTGCCAGAGATCGGCAAATATCTGTAGACAAAAATCTATGCATGTATATAATGCATTTGTATATATATATATATGTATGCATAAATACAGTCTGCATTGGTTTTCATGAAAGAACTGAAAGTTTGCGCCTTTTAGTGTGACTTAGATTCTTGCCTCCGACCTTGCAATTTAAGATGAGAACCTTGCAATTCATTCAACAAGATTTTGGGAAGAAAGCCAGATTCAAGACGCTCTTGAGGACAGACAGATGCATGGAAGCCGGTGGCCTGGTACCGGACCCTCTTTGAGTCGCTGGCCAGTCATGCGCCGGGCATTGTGGGCTTCGTTGGCTTCCAGCACATTGTGGTGGCGAGGCGCTGATGTCTTGGGGTGTGGGGTGTAGAAGTCCTGGGGTGGGGTCGCAAATCTGGCATGCTATTGTGCAGTCATGTGTTGACCATTGGAAGCTGCTCAGACTGAAGTGCAGAGCAGCACACGTTCTAGCCACGAACGAGTGGAGCTTTGCACAGGATCATGTCCAAAAGCCAGCCGCAGACCCTGTTGTCGATACCGAACGTCTTGCTTTACACGAGCATCGTCATCTCGGTGACTGCGATTTTTGCGAGCTTCTTGCTCGGCCCTCAGATTTTCTGGGCTTGCTCATTTCGGAACATGAACACACTTGGGCGAGCAGGCGGGTGGGGGGGGGGGGGGTGGGGGGGCATTTCGCTCCCTACAAAATGCTGTAAGTCGCAAAGCTTTGTTGTATGTCTTTACGTTACAAATGCTCTGCATTGCTGCATTTTCCGGTTGGGGCATCGCAAACCCTGGATGCAAGCATTGTTGTGTTCTGAAAGTAAAATGCAAGTACTGCAGGAGGCCAGAACTCAATCAAGTTGCCAGCAGATACAGTGACCATACTCTAACGACAGAGGCTGTGCCAACAGGTGTCTCGCAGCACCTTTGCCCAACCCAAGGCTTTTGGGTTTGGACTACTTGCGACGCCTGGCCATCGACTGCGCGAAGGGCAAGGTCGACGTGCTTGTAATTGGGGAGCAGGGACGAAGTACTGCGGATCTAGAGTGGGGGCGCGCAGAGGTTTTTCGGATGTCCCTGGCACAATTTCCCCCAGTCATATGGAAACACGAATCCTGGGACCTCTGCTGAATCTCAGGCAATTGGCAGAGTTGTTTGTCCCTGCGCAGGGCATCCAACTCGTATTGAAGCGTGGACGGCTCGAACACACAGGCTGGCACAACGTTTGCAGATTCGATGTTAGAGGATGTGTAGGGGTCCAGGGTCAAGAGTCTGCAGGTCCAGAAGATTGATGTGCAATAGTGCTACTTACGAAGAAGATTACATGTTCACATGCGCTGATAAACATGTATGACGTCTTGTATATTGCAAACAAGGGTTGTGGCACAGTCTAGATCTCCCGCTTGCCATGCACAGGCCTGGGAGCAGCCCTGATCTTCCTGACCGGCATTCTCCTTGTTTTGTACGTTGCCGTTCTCGTCACGGAGTATTTTGAGCGCAAATCCAACCAGGAGAGGCGGAATTTGCGAAGGCTTAAGATTATGCAATGTAGGAGCTTCAGGATTTTCATGGTGTGGATGTTCTTTTGTTGGCATTGGGTTTCAGAGTTGATGGGCAGGTATGTCTGGTATCCAGCAAATACTTTTTGTTTTTGCGGCCGTACCCGTTGATGACACAATTGTGTTGGCAATTGTCTCTATGCCTACTGTAATGGTCTCATGCACCGAGACAAATTGTAGCTCGTTGTTCAACACGTTGCATCCTAAGCAGTGGGATCCCAAAAGCGTGGCCTCCGAGAGACCCACTTAAATCAATAAACAAAGATGCACACACAGACACACACATGGAAATGTGTATATATATATATATGTATAGATATATATGTATATGTATATGTATGTAGAGACAACCTTGCAGGGAGTTGATGACTTCATGCTTCTGTTCAAGCGTGCAGCGGCCTCGGCAGGGGTTGGAGTCTCAACCATGTTGAAGATGGACGAGGAAGCATAGACATCCAAACTCCAGAGCCCTCAGCAAGTCCTCAACATCTGATCCGGGAGCCCAACCCCTCAAGCGTCTAGATACATCCTCGATCCGAAATCTTAAGCCCACAACCCTAAAAGGAAGATGCGGCTCAAGTCTTTGTCCTGTAGTACTGTACCATCCTCAACACGACTGAGGTCTCTAGTTGCAGCGTCGTCTGCCTGTATTTCATCAATCTACGCGGCTTGTGCGCGTCACCCAAGGCTGGATGATGAGTTTGGGGTCCTTGATTTTCATTTCTCGCGTGACGTTTCGAGCTGTAAAGCTGGCACGTTCGGCTTAGAGCTTCTTTGGGTTTTGCAGCTCATACAGGGTTGCGAGCTGAAACGTTCGCACATAACTGCCGTCCTGTAAGCTCTTTTTCGCAGACAAAGCACACCAAACGTCCTGGAGACAGCCGGCTGTGTGTGTGTGTGTGTGTGTGTGTGTGGGTGTGTATGTGTGTGTGTGTGTGTGTGGCCCTTGGTTCTTTGGGTTGGCTTTGTTCCTCGCCCTATAGTCATAGGTCCCTGCAGTGGTGAGAGCTGTTGCCTTACCCCTTACATGTACAGATGGTCACCCTTCTTGGCCCACACCTGATCTGCTTTTGTTCTCATGTTTTCAGCTCCCTGAAATACTTTGCGCCCTCAACCCGGAGTTCTTGGAGGTGATGTTCGCTTTTTTCGGTTGTGTACATGCCACTGCGTGGTCCTGCGGGAGGGACAAGCACATCTAGTTGGATCTATGCAGGCACTTCTTGGTGTATAGCTTCTTGTGGAGCTTTTAGACTTCAAGTTGGCGCACATGCGTTGCTAAGATTTGGGCCGATGCCCTAGTCAAGCAGCTAAGTGCCGGAGTATAGGAGCATTCCTGAAAAATTGCTGTCAGCTACCTACCAAGCTACCTACCACGCCCCCTGCCGTCTTCTTGGTAGTTGGCAGGTGCAATTTCACATGTTCAGCGAAGATGTGGACAAGGCTGCAGATGTGAAGGAAATTCGTACCCAAACGCTCGAGGACGGCGGATGCTCTCATGCGGCCGTCATACTTGAGAAACTGCAGTGGGTAGAGGTCCGAGTCTGCACAGTGGGCTTCGCGGTCATACAGTTGGCCGTAGAGTTGCAAAGATGCAGCAAGTCACTATAAGTGTCATGAGAGCCTTCATGTTGTTCGTATCTAATCGCGTGCCGTAAACCTGGGTGGCGGCAGAGCCTCCTGTCCGGCAGAGCCCCTGAGAACCAACCCTCCAGAGCCAAGCCCACAACCTGAATTGGCGTCATCCTGGAGGAGTGCGCTGCAACCTTCCTGCACCTCAAGCATCTGAACCATGAATCAACTCATCACGTAGGCATGTAAGCCTCAAAACCCTCCAGCCTCAGTCTGACAGCCCGAGATGCAGACCTGTGAAGGATTTTTTGGACGAACATGGCACTGGGGAATGTGGCACGATGCACGAAGTCATGGCCAACGTCATGGACCACTTGGGCCCCGAGGACTGGCGCCAGCATCAAAATAGGGGTCCTTTTATCAACAAGGGGCCCTTTCTACGTTGAGGAACACCAGTCCACGATCCTGTGAAAATTCAAGCCTGCAATGCGGATCTCAAATGTCCTTGCAACGCCGCGCGTTCTTGCGGCTTCCCAGGTTGAGGCTCGTGGTTGGGTTTAGAGTTCGCAGTTTTAGGCAGGTTTGCGCACGCTGTGTCCAAAGCGTCTCTGTGTGACATTGTGGCAAAGAATTGCGGACCGAGCATGCGTTGCTTCTGTTTTTTTGCGGTTTGCCACCTCGCACTTTCCGGGTTCAGTGTCCATGTCTTTCAGAATTTATGCTCGGACATGTTCTTGGCCCGGCAGATGCTTGTGGAGTGCAGGGATAGCTCTACTTTAGACATCAGCCGGCCGCGCCTCAGAGCTTGCCATCGTGTGATTTTTATTGTAACTTTACGCCTTCAGGGCTGCCCGTGTTTGCAGGGCTTGTTGTGTTGTGGGCTTCACTGATTAAGGCGAAAGGTTGAGAACTGGAACCCCCCCTTCACGTCTCAAAACCTAAACCCGCAAAATCTGTAAGACTTTGGAAGGACCTTGGACTCTTTCTCAAGAAGGGAAGTCGCCAAGCACTCCTTCCGAATCAGCGCCTTACTCCGTTGGCACTTGTTGTGGCCTGGCCCATGTCAGACTTGTCTGTTTCTCAAGATTAGGGGTCCAGTGGGGGGTTTTACATATACCGAATCCCATTATTCAGGAAGCTTCCACATACACAGGTGCCAGAGCTTTCAGCCCCAATGCTCGATTAGGACCTCGAAGAATGAGACAGTGAAACGGAACCTAGATAGTTGACCATGAGCCCTGAAACGGACCTTGGACAGTTGCCTTCTGACAACAACCTCAACCGGGAATAAAGCATGTAAGCTTTGCGATTGCAAGGAAGCATTTAGTTGCACCATGTGCAGATGTCGTAGATGCTAGGCTGCGCTCAGCCTCCTCTGTACTTGAGGTCGCCGCAACTTCGCCGTTCCACATACCAAGTCCCCAACAACGACAAACAATTACATGAGGCTTAGAGGTTGTTAATTGTCATTGGCTACTGCTACTCTTTGACCGAGCCCACACGGAGTCATAACTTAGGTTTGCCTGCTGCTTTTCATTGGTGCGTTTCCGATGCTCACTCAAGTCGCCCTGGAGCGGGGCTTTGCCACTCCAACAATTGTGAGCATGAGACCCGGATGAACTTGTGTACGCGGCAGACGATCGTTGCAGCGGAGCTCTCAATCTGAAAGTTACACTAGATCTGTGCCCGCCGAGAGCTATTTGGAAAGCCCAAGCCTTGAATCTAAGCCACGATCTAGAGCCAATTAAGAGGGTGCTGCAGCCCAACCGATGATTCCAGAGTTCAGCATTGTAAGTCTCTCGCTGGCCTCTCGGGTTTAGGGTTAGGATCTTGAAGCGCTTCGCTCCAATATCTTGATGAAGGTTTGATCGCAAGACATTCCGCAGTGAGGCAAGTTGATCCGCCAAAGGGCAAGTACAGGAACCCCAAGAAGGGACTCCGATCAACAGCCACAGGCTCTGGCGGCTATTAGTAGAGTGTTAAATCGGGTTCCCAGAGTGATAATCATTAAGTTTGAACGGCTCAGGAAAGCCTTTTCGGCCAGCCTCATTCCAAACTTTCCGCCGGGTGCGGTCGACAACAAGTATCTACTCCTGGTGGGATCGGGAGGATCCCCGCGCCTTCAGGTGAGGCCGAAGTTTGAGCAAGCATCGACGCTCGGGCCGAAGTTTCATTTCGTGATGTGTGGGTCGTAAGCCCTAAGAATGTTCACTACCTTTCTCCCCTGACAATGTTGAGGAGCATCAGCATCTGCTGCCAGTCGTCATCTTGGAACTGCACCACTCACGCATTCAAGAAGCTGCTCCTTGAGTCTGACGACCAGCCAGCCGATCTTTACGTTCCTGCCGGTACCTCCACAAGCTGCAAGTTGAGGCTTCTAGGTGGGCTGGCGGTTTTGCTAGAAAAACCTACGAGTAGAGTAGGCAACCTTTAACCTTCTTGGGGTAACATAAGCCCCTTATAATCCCAAAGGTTAACCTTTGGTTCCCCCAGGTTATTGGACAACTAAGAAAAGGGATAACGGATGCATCTGACATGCCAGTTTGGGAAGCATAGCGCGACAGGTCTGAGCAGCCGTGCCGTGATGGAGTTGGAGCTGTCCGTGGAACCCAAAAAGAAGCACAACATATGCGGCTGCTCTGAGGATGGCTGCAAGTGCTGCGATGGCTATGTGGGTGGACTGAACTCCTCAAGCGACGACTCTGTGAAGGTCGAGGATGCCTGCTCCCCGGCACCTTGCAACATAGCCAACTCCAATTTCAGAGCAGGCCCCAGGTGTGCCTGTAAGGATGGCTTCTTGGGGACCATCTCCTGGACTCGGGAGGTATCTGCAGGCACATGCATCCCTGCCCCGTGCAGGGTCTCGAACTCCACCAGGGAGCCAGGCCACAGCTGCCGGTGCAACGATGGCTTTCAAGGAGAGATCTCCTGGCAGAATGAGACCCCGAGTGGGCAGTGTAGGCCTGCGCCGTGCAAGATCAACAATTCCATGCTCGACGGGCCTGATTGTCGATGCAAGGATAGCTTTACAGGAGACATCGTCTGGGATGGGGCAAGCGCGACAGGGGAATGCGCCCCAGTACCCTGCTTCATCCCGAACTCCAATTCAGAGCCAGGCGACAGTTGCGCATGCCGTTTCGGGTTTGAGGGCCAAATTGCGTGGTCGCGAGGATTTCCATCCGGAACTTGCCGGCCTGCTCCTTGCGATGTTGAGAACTCAAACAATGCATCTGGCCCGGATTGTAGCTGCAAGGATGGTTTCGTTGGTTCTGTTGTATGGAATGGTTCGGTGCCTACAGGGAGCTGCAAGCCAGCACCTTGTAATATCGTGCATTCCAATGGGGAACCAGGACCTTCCTGCCAATGCAAGCATGGCTTTGACGGTTTCATTGAATTTAAGGGCCCTCATGCTCGGGGCAGCTGCAGTAAGCTGGAGTGTCGGGGCGAGCACTCCAACGGCAAGGCTGGCCCGGAATGCGGCTGCGCTGATGGATTCCATGGAACCGCCGACATCCTGAATGATACAAATCAGCAGCAATATTTTCAAGCCAAGTGCGAACCTGCGCCTTGCGGGGTTGAGAACTCAAACAATGCATCTGGCCCGGATTGTAGCTGCAAGGATGGTTTCTCTGGTTCTATTGGCTGGAATGGTTCAATACCCACCGGGCGCTGTGAGCCAGCAAGCTGCAAGATACAGGACTCCAACGAAAAACCAGGGCTCGCATGCACATGCCGGGACGGCTATGAAGGCAAGATCACCTTCAATGGAACAGTCGCGCAAGGACGCTGCGATCCAGCACCCTGTGCCATCGCACACTCCAACAATGAATCAGGACATGCCTGTGAGTGCTTGTCTGGCTTTGGTGGTGATATTTCATGGAGTCTCAGCGTTCCATCCGGTACATGCGAAGAGCTAGACTGTCAGGGTGCGCATGCAAACTCAAAGAAGGGGCCAGCGTGTGGTTGCGCGGATGGGTACAGCTTAGTCAACAGAACAGTGAAACAGGAGGTGAGGGAGCACTACTCTGACTACTCTCTGCTGGAATATGATCCATTCCTCAACGACAAATTCTACTTCGGCAGCTACAAGCCCCCAGTGCGAGAAAACTACACATTTTTCCGTGTGCAGTGCGTACCTGCGCCCTGCGGGGTTGAGAACTCAAACAATGCATCTGGCCCGTATTGTAGCTGCAAGGATGGTTTCGCCGGTTCCATTGGCTGGAATGGTTCAATACCCACCGGGAGCTGTGAGCCAGCCAGCTGCAAGATACCGGGCTCCAACGAGAGACCAGGGCTCGAATGCAAATGCCGGGACGGCTATGAAGGCTCCATAAGTTGGAAACGCGCGAATGCATTCGGGACATGTTGGCGCGCGCGATGCGACAATCAGAAGTTGCCCCTACAGCTTGGAAGTGATTATGGAGAATGCGTCTGCATCGATGGCTATGAAGGCAATATCACCTTCAATGGCTCAGTGGCACAAGGACGCTGCGATCCAGCACCCTGTGCGGTCAGGAACTCCAACCGCCGGCCGGGACGTGACTGCAAATGTTTGCCTGGTTTTCATGGTGAGATTTACTGGAATTTCGACAAGGCATCCGGCACGTGCGCAGAGCTAGACTGCCGGGGGGAGCACGCAAATGGAATAGATGGCCCAAAATGTAGTTGTGCAGACGGGTACATCTTAGTCAGACGTGTCAGGAAGGAGGAGCTCAGTAGCTACATTGATGTCCACGATGTATGGCGCTCAAACTCTCTATTCGAAAGGGGTCCGTGGGAAGAAGATTATATTGATTATCATGACGTGCGCGGCAGCGACATCGAGGATGGCTACGACAGCGATGACGATGAGCCAGAAAAAGTTCCAGTCTTCAGGGTTGAGTGCAAGCCCGCTCCCTGCGGTGTTGACGGCTCGAACAATGCATCTGGCCTTGAATGTCGCTGCAAGGATGGTTTTGCTGGTTCTGTTGCCTGGAACGGTTCGGTACCCACCGGGAGCTGTGAGCCAGCCAGGTGTCAGATCCCTAATTCCAATCACGAACATGGGCTAGCGTGTGCATGTTCAGATGGGTTCCTGGGTAACATTACGTGGAATGGCTCGGAAGCTTCGGGCGGCTGCCAGCCTGTACCGTGCGAGGTTCAGCATTCTGACTTTGCCGCGGGCCCTGCGTGCTCTTGTGCCACCGGGTTCTTTGGCAACATTGTTTGGAAAGGACCACAGGCGTTTGGCGCATGCCGGCCCTTGCCAGTTTGTTCTGAGAGCATTTGGTACGCAACAGTTCTTCAAGCAAATGCCACTGATCCATCAGGAAATGCCTGTGAGGCTGGCCAGTCTGTCGTGTTTCGGGGGTCAGCATGTTCGGACAATCGCATTCTGTGGAGGTTTGCAGAAGCAAGTCCACCGGCAAAGTGCAGATGGGAGTGGACAGGAGTCGATTCGATGTGCGGTGCACCAACAGAAAGGGCCGAGTTTGTCCTTCCCAACAGATGTCTGACAGAAGCAGCACTTCCGAGATGTTCTGAGGAGATAGTTTACCCCGCCACCATGGACTTTTCTTCTTCTCTGGGATGCATGGATGGCATGGAACATCCACTTGTGCAGTTCCGCGGGAAGCAATGTGGCTATGATTTGATTCAATGGGAGGCAATGGTGGTTGCCAGCGAGTGGCAGACAACGCGCCAGACTTCACAGCCATGTGCCAGTGACATGTCTCTTCCATGCGGGGAAACTCCTGCCAGCGAACAACTTCCAAATGCCTGCTTTCATGCTGCAGAGCCCGCGCTCTTCGAGTTGAACGCAAGTAGCAGTAGGGTAGTGAAGCTGCTCAACAATGGAGAGGGCTCATTTCCTTCGGAAGGTGGCTCCCTCAGCACGTTTGCAAGACAACCGCCTCCTCTCAGCGTCATGGAGTCGGAGTTGGTATGGTTGCGGCTGTCGTTGTAGTTGGCGGCAGAGAATTTTACCTGAACCCCTTACGTAAAATTTCTGGAAGGCGTGGCCGCTGTTAATCCGCTGGACGCACAGCAGGAAGCTCAAATTCCGGGAAATGCAACTCCGCGCGGTTTGGGTTTGTTGAAATGTCCGTGCAGGGGGGCGGGGTCAACAACAACAGGCGGGGGTCCAGTTTTCAGTTATGGGGAAGGAACACCGCCACCACCAGCACCACCTCCATCATCACGGCGGGGGGGGGGGGGGGAAGTTCCCCCTCCGCTGTGAGCAAAGAGGTTAGCATAGGCCACCCCTCATGCTCTGCCATGGTTCGGAAATGCTTTGAATGCCAGCATTCTTGCTTCATTCCCGAGTGGAAATGCGGAAAATACTAGTTCTCTCCTTCATTGTGTTGGCATCATATTCGTATAAGAATAGCTGCAGCTTCCAACATTCTGGCTTCGCATATGTATGAAAGGTGTGAAGGCCGGATTTTTGGGTGTCGGTTGGCACTGTGGGCATCTACAGGGATGATGTATATGGTTGTTGCCTTTCGGCCAGGGGAGTAAACAACAAGTGCGGTTCCATTTAGGGCTCTAAATCAGTAGCAACAGAATGAAGAAGTCGTCTTACCCTTCATAGCAGCAGCAGCAGCAGCAGCAGCCCAGTCCGCCTCCTGTCCCTGGGTGCTATTGGTTCCAACTTTCAGCGAATGGGCCGTGTGTTTTAGCGTGTGCGACGAGACGAGGGGGAGGTTAGGAAGGGATGATGGTGCCTCGATATTTCGTACATGACAGTCTATATGAGCAATATGGAACGCATCAGGTCGACTAGTCAATCAACATGCAAGTCCGCCTTGACGCGCACTAGCACGCGGTCGAAGCAACAGATCCCTGCTCCAGACTTTCAGTATGCAGCGCACACGTGCACAATGGGAAACGTTGAGGTGATTCTTTAAAGCAAGACCCGTCTGATTCAAAAAGGGCGAGCGTGTGCTTGCTAGTGGGTGGTGGCAAATCATGGTGAGGGACCTGCAATTTGCGCGCAAAGTGTTGCCATGCTGAAGCTGTATGTAACGGCTCCGTAGCACAATCCCAGCTCGATCATATGCCGTGGCCTGGTTGAGGGATTTTTCAGCAGAGACGTTTTGGTTCCTGAATTCTGCAGGCTGGAACTTTTGCCCAACCGTTCCCTCATCATCATCTCCAGCGGGCCGCAACCATACGCGGGTTGTGCAGCCAGAAGACAAGGAAACCACACCTCAACCGGGACAGGGTTGAGCAAAAAATGTCCGTGCCTGGCACCATGCTAAATGGGCACAGCATCGAGGCCGTGTGCAGCGAGTGCGCCCATCATGAGCCTGATTGCGTCTGCAGTTTCGTTCTGTTGGCGCGCACGGCGCTTGCGCCAACTGTTCCCTGCTCGTGTTAAGCAGCCCCAAACGAGCACTTGGACAAAACGGTTTGGGCCAGTTCGTGTCCAGTTGCCCTGAGGCGACCTAGCATCATCGAAATTCGGGAGTAAGCAGGAGGAGGGAGTAGGCGGAGTACAAAACGATGAGCAAGTTGCCGCCGTCGCGGCCGCGGCAGCGGTCGCAGTGTTGTTATCGTTGTTTGTTGTTTGCCGTTTCTTGTTTCTTGTTTCTTGATTCTGGTTGGCAATCGTTAGCTGCCGGAAACCAGCTCAATGTGTATGCAGCACATGCGAGGTGCCGATGGAGAACCGCAGTGGTTTCATTGGAAGTCAGATGAACGGCTGCTGCGCTTTTTTTTTGGAGACTTCACAACAATGACATTCCGACGCTTGCATGGTGATGGCTCGCTCTTTCAAGGCCCATGGAAGTCCCGATTGATTGCAGCTTGGGCTTTGCCGCCGTGGTGGACGTTCTCATTTCAACAAAGTGACGCCATGTCGGGCAGCTTCAATGCAGATTGGATCATTAATTGTCAGCTTGCGTTCTACATTGCAGATGCCTGCTACAAAGTTGTGTTTGGGCAAGAAGTTGAAACCTTCCATGTGCATTCCGGTGAATGCTCTCCGGCAAAATTGGCAAACCTGACAGGAATGAAGCACAAGTATGTATCCTCAGCCTTTGGAATCCAGACATTCCGTTCTGCAGAGCGCTGTGAGCCTATTGCAGCAAGGAAGGAGATTGTGGTTGAGGTCGTTCATATAGGTGCTGCCACGGAGTTTGAAGCTGCCCTTATGAGCACAGATTGCCGCAAGACCCTTCGCATCATAGGAAATGCCTGGTCTGAACGGGCGAAGTGTGGATTGTACAAACCGCGCCGCTATGAGGTGTAGGAGTTTGGTGGCCCTCATGGGCATAGGAAGCAGCGCTTGTGGCAAATCCTTGAGGAAACACGGATAGCCATAGCAGTAGTCTCTTACAGGGAGACACTTGATGAGGTCGGCGGAGAGGGGATGAGCTCAAGGCACAGACAGCGAGCCCGGCCAGGCGTGACAGACTCCCATGTCTGGGGACGTCAGCATATGCATCCAGGCACATATATGCAGGGAGCCCTCCACGTTCGACGCGCAGCTCGACTGCGGGAAAAAGATGGCTGACGTGGCAGAGTCCGCAGCTAGTAGTTTCCAAGCATACTTCGTATTGTCTTTATACGTAGTAAGTATGTGGGAAAAATATCTGTGCTTAGGTGGATGCTCAATTGAAGCGTTGAAAGGTTGAGACAACTCCGGAGTCAGTTAAGCATGGTGTCCATTACACCAATGTGCTGGCAGACTTGGGGATTTTAATTGTGATTGCTTGACGTGGGTAGGTTTTGACATATCACATGGATCCTGAAATGGACATCGTCAGGTTCGCTCGGTTTGTTGTCTTGCTTCGGACGGCTTGGCGTGCCAATGCGTGGCAGTGTCAGTGAGAGGTCCTAGATTCGTCGAGTTTGATCGGGGTGGCGGCGGCCTTCTCTGAAAAGGCCGGGATGTCAAAATCACGCGCGAAGTCTGAGTTTGATCGTTGTTGTGCGCTTCCAGGATTCGTGGTTGCGTGTACTTTCGGGAGGTCTTGGGTCTCTTTGTGTTCCGACGACAATCTTTTCCTTCCTGCGCTCGAGGCCCTGCCGCCTTCTTGCTGGGCCTTGACATTTTCCTTCAAGCCGACTGCGCCGGCCTTGGACTGCGTTTGCACACACCCGAGGCATCAAACAGGCTGCACCCAAGCACCGCCCCTCAAAAAGCCCTGTACACCCGAGCGATGAAAGAGTCTACGAAAATAGGGGACCCCCCCCAAGATCCCCAAGTAGTAGAAATCCCTTATCACCCCAATAAGGTACCCTTAATCTCGTAACCCCCCAAACAGATTAGCCGGAGGGGAAGAGACTTTGGAGACGAAGGTCGAGCTCCTGTCCGAAGCCTGTCATCCGCGCTGAAGCTCTTGGAGGCAGGGTTAGGGCTTGGGGTTTAGGGTTTAGGGTTTATGTGGTTTAGGGTGGTATTTGGACTTCACGGTTTGAAGGGTTTTTGAGGCTTTGAGGGTTGGAGGCCGAGGGCTTCAGATGATCACGGAGGCGAGCTCCTTGGAGCGTGCGGGAGTTGTCGTTTGCAAGTCTCTCTCAAGTGCCCTAAACCCTAAACCCTAAACCCTAAACCCTAAACCCTAAACCCTAAACCCTAAACCCTAAACCCTAAACCCTAAACCCTAAGCCCTAAGCCCTAAACCCTAAACCCTAAACCCTAAACCCTAAACCCTAAAACCCTAAAACCCTAAAACCCTAAAACCCTGAACCCTAGACCCTAAAGCCCTAAAACCCTAAAACCCTAAACCCTAGACCCTAGAACCTAGACCCTAGACCCTAAACCCTAAACCGTACAGCAGCGGAGGCGGTGCCGCCCGAGCTGCTGGTCCCAAGGCGCAGCCCTGAGTTGATTTGTTCTCCACTGCTCCGCGTGATGCATTCAGGCAGAGAAGCTGCTTCACGCTGTGTCTGTCTCTCTGGCTGTCTCCCTTTGTTAGGTCCTTCTCTCACTTCCGGCAAACCTGGGGCCGGAAGCTTCTATGTCCTCTAATCCCGCCCCTGGCCCCGCCAGATTCGGTCTCCAGCCTAATGCACGTGGTTGCACCACACCCTGAACCCATCACAGTGGTGTAGCTTGCGCTGATCCATACAACAAGGCCCTCCTGGCTGCAAGCGCCCAGTGAGCGAGTGCGCGAGCCCAGATTGACTTTCTGTCCTTTGCAGTTTAGAGTTTTGGGCAAACTGTGAGAAGCAGAGAGTAGTACTCCTCCGAGCTCTACCCCCCAGTATCCCAGAACCCTGCAAACCCCATAAACCCTATAAACCCCATAAGCCCTATAAACCCTTTCAAACCTACAAACCACGTAAACCCCATAAACCCAATAAACCCCATAAGCCCTATAAACCCTATAAACCCTACAAACCCTATAAACCCTAAACCCTAAACCCAAAGCCAAAAATCCACAACCCCCAAAAGCTGCCGAGGCCCTGGCAGCGGTTTCAGAGCGACCAACGACTCCTCTAGTCCACACAGGCCCAGAACTCAGCTCTGCTTCAGGAGGCTGTACCGCTACATTATATGCTTAAGGGACTATGTAAAGACCTAATGACTCCGTGAGAAGCACTAGTTTGCCAACAATTGTCAGTCGATGGCGTGATGCAAGGTCGAACTTTTCAACTTTTGGGCTTCTTATAAGGTAGCTTATTCTGAAAGTTTCAAACTTTTATTTCCTTGGGTTTTGGGCCAGTAAGAGTGCAACCTGGATTTCTACTTGCCGTACTTAGAGGCTTGCTCCTAAGAGCGGGGAAGTTGATCTAGGGAAGTCGCAGTACCTTACAGCTAGATAACCTTATTGAGAACTGCCCATGAACCTCCCAGATGACAGTACCTGGTGCCCAATGAAGGGGAGTTTAGAGTTTAGGGTTTCTGGGTCCCAGAAGTATAGGAACCCAAAGTGAGCAAAACAAGGTGTGACACCGTCAAATTCTGCCGTGGTGCTGTCGCTTGCGACGTCGTCCCCTTCAATAGCGTTTACGAGATGCCCGTCACCTACAAGGCGATTGGCAGTTGAAGTGTTCAGTGCCGAGTTGGGCGTGTCTGGAGTGTTGGATGGGTTGCTCTTGAACCTTCTTCTGGGCTGATTGTGCTACGAGGACGGCCTAGGAGAGCATAAAAGGAACAGCGCCCAAGCCTGGGTCCACTTGCTCAAAGCCTAAACCCTAAACCCGAAACCCTAAAACCCTAAACCCTAAACCACAAGGCTTAGGGAAGCCGAAGTCTGACTGACAACCCTAAACCCTATTCAGGAGCCCTAATGCCCCAAGAAGTAGGCCCGGTCAGATGGCCCAGGTGGATCCAAAGCATCTCGGCCGAAGCAAAGCAGGGAGTTCCATGCTGACCTCGGCGCAAACTTCTCACATGTGATGGAAAAGGTTCCAGTGGGGTAGTAGGTCTCTTGGAAGTGCGCTTGCTGAGCCTAGAGCTGCAGCAGCTTCACATGGCCATTTTGCGTTTTCAGAGGTTGATAGAGGTCCTTCAGTGCTTCTGCGCCCAAGCTTGAAGCGGCCAACGGCAAGGCCGGTTGCGTGTGACGCTGCAGTGATTCCAGCGGCTGAGGATGTGCACCGCGAAGAAGGCAGCCGCGTGCACGCTGCCTGGACCTCTTCCATCCTCAGGAGTTTTGCCTTTGTTATCTGGGGATTTACGATAGTAGGGGTACCTTATTCGGAAAGGGTATCCTACTATGTGCGGGTCTATGAAGCCAAAGGGAAGATTCTAAAGCTTGGTTGATGTTGTGCCATTATGGGTGCTCTGTGGGCCCCTAAACCCTAAACCCTAAACCCCAAATCCTAATCCGAAACCCTAAGCCCGAAACCCTAAACCCTAAATCCTAAACCCTAAGCCCTAAACCAATACAAACCGAATGGGCTCCAAGTCTGCTAAGGAGGAAGGGCATGTTTGTGGCTGCAACCAGAAATTCACGAGGCTTTGTAGCCGCAGGTCTGGTTTTGTAGCTTGCCATGTTTCGTTGCTACTGGTTCACATGTCGAAACGCGCTTTGTCTTTGGATACGCTTGATTTGTCGGGGAATTCCTGGACTCCTTGGTCCAAGGGGGCCTCAGTGAGGTGCTTAGCTAGGGTTTTTTTGACGCCTCAAGCCCCTGGTGTCTTGGAGAAACCCTAAACCCTAGACCCTAGACCCTAAACCCTAAACCTTAAAAAGGCGCCCCTGAGGCATCCTTTGACCAAGAAGCCGCTGAAAGGCATCGGATTTTTGGGTTTAGGGTTTAGGGTTTAGGGTTTGGGGTTTAGGGTTAAGTCCTTCAGAGCCGTGTTTTTTGCATGCACACACACACACACACGAGACGTTCGAATTCAAGATATGGGAGTGCAGAAGCAACATATGCCATGTCTGCAGTTTATTTTAGTTGGCTCTGTTGCCCACTCGCCTCCTGCGGGCCGCAAAGTCGCCCCCTGTCAAATCACGGCCGGGGGGGCCTGGTGTCGGGGTTCAAGATGTCTGCCTTTTAGAGTTTTGGAGGGATGTGCAGCACTCTCTTGGGTAAGTTGCAAGGTTTTGTAAGGTCGGGTTGCCGGATTTCAGGCTTTCAGGGGAGTCAGGATTGAAGTTGGGGCTTTGGGAGTGAGTGAGGGGTCGACAGGGTGTACCTTCAGCCCCTTAGACCCTCCAAAAGCTCCAAAAGGGCCCTGCTCACCCCCTGTAAACATCCTGAACTCCCGAAGCTCTCAACCATTCCAGGCCAAGATGCCGCGATTGTTCGCCTCGCTGCTGCTCCTGGTCACCGCCCTGGCGGCCGAGAACACCGGACGCTGCCGTCGGATGAGACAGCGTTGGTTTGCTCATCCTGTATAGAGTTTTGAAGGGGCTGATGCGGAAATCGGTTCTCTGCGGTTTCTGTCATCGAAGCGCATATATCATAGAGCCCATAGATTTCTTGCTCAGTTAGCCCGTTAGTTTTTGATGTCTACGATATGTCGCAGATTCCATACAGACGTAACACGTCGTTTGTCCAGCAATATACTTGATAAAAACCGTGTCTATGCTTTCCTTGTCATGGTAAACTAGATGAATACATGTTAGATTCCGTAACGAGAGCGGTATCTAAAGGATGTGGAGAGCTTGTCTTACGTTCTGCACGCAGAGGCCACGAGGGGCATTTTGAAACTGAACCTTGGGTCGCTCAGTGGGCCTGGGGAGCGGTTTAGGGGTTTAGAGGTTTAGGGGTTTAGGGGTTTAGGGGTTTAGGGGTTTAGGGGTTTAGGGGTTTATGTTCAGATAGTTCACGTTGTTTCAGTTTCCAAAG